AATGTAATTGTTTACATCCTTGACTATGCACTACGTGTGTTACTGGAGTAAACCTCTAGAGGCCGTTAACAACTGGGATGTAAACAAAGGACATGCCGGTCACTATGGTGTTAAGTCTATATTAGAACTGAAATCATACTTACATCAATAATCAACAGTGACATCAGATCAGCTCAGGCGACTGATGACCGGTAAACAGAACACAACGTCCTCCCTGTCTGTCAGTAACATTTCCTATATGTGCCTGTCCATAACGGCCGCGGTGTTCTGGTTATATGAGTGACCTAACTGGTGACTTTGACCCAAATGCGGCTATCGTAGCTGTTGAAAATGGATAGGCTCCTCGCAATTGCCTCTTTGTTTAGTTTTACAATATAAAGTCAAAATGTACTCAATCAGATATATTTAATGAAAAACTAAACAAACAACAATGCTGACACCGGTGCGTTTGGCTTATGTTGCCAGTTTACAGGGTCACTTGTTGAACCGAAACACCAATCTTATTTTCCGTAGTTTTGCAGGTATCCATGACGACATCAATTCCCAGCGATTTTTAACGGGCATGTTTGTAGCTGTGTCGTGACACAATTAAGGACTTGGCTTATCAGTTTGTCTCCAAAACATTCTGCCATTGTTGTCCCTGCTACTGTGTTGACTGTCACATCTCCTCTGCCTCTACATAGATGTCATGTGACTACTGCATCTTGTGTCCAAGTGGAGGCAAGCTTTGAGTTAGTGCTCAGCCGACGCACCAAACAGATGCACGGGATGCGTACATGTACATGTAGTTCAAAGCAAGTATATCTCTGGCCTTAGAGGTGCAAACAGTTCACTTCATTGTCTTTTCTGTTTCGTTCTTTTCCACTCGTTTGCTGATAATTTGAATACTTGTCCAATTACACATTGCATTGATTCAAAGGCATCCGCCATCTTGGATTTCAAATGCATGTTGTGTTTATGTTGTTCTATTGTCTGCTCTGCTGTTCTGTTTTGTTCTCGTTGAACTCTGTCTTATTCACCTCTCAACCAGAGAGGGAGAGAGAGGCAGATTCCTGCGTGTTGCAGTAAGAGGAAGAGAGAGAGAGACTTGGAGAGAGGCATGTGGATTCCTGTGTGTTTGTGAGAGAGAGAGAGAGAGAGAGAGAGAGAGCTCCGGGTTGCGTTGAATGTCAAGAATGTTGAGGCTTTTGGCTCTGGTTTGTTCTGACGGAGGGAGGAGGAGATAAAGAAGGAGAGAGGAGGGACAGAGTGAATGGAAGAGAAGTATAGAGGCAGGAGATAAGGAGGGAGGAAGGGAGAAGGAGATGAAGGAGACGAAAAAGGAAGCAAAGCAGAAAAAATATGGCAAAGTGAAATAAAGGAGTTCCTTTTATAATCCATGCTGCAACTAGCTATTAATGTCGCTGTCAATATTTTATCTTTTATATATATATATTTAATAGGTTTGTTTGGGTTTAAGGAAAAAAGTGGATTCATGAGTCTCAACAAAAGGTTTCTTGTAATGGGCTTAAGTGTCACTGTTTTACAATTATAATATTAAGATTAAACATCAGTATAAAATGCTTCAATGTCACACAGGATGCATTCAGGGACATAATGTGCCGTAGGGCAAAGGGGTAGCAGCAGCCGTCCAAGAACAACTCAGAATCAGAATCAGAACCGTCTTTATTGGCCATGTTTATGTGCAGATACAAAGAGTCTTGAGTCTTTATTTACCGTCTTGTTTATGTGCAGATACAAAGAGGCTGAGTCTTTATTTACCGTCTTGTTTATGTGCAGATAGAAAGAGTCTGAGTCTTTATTTCACTCCAAGCACACAAATTACTATACTCTTACAACAAGGACAGCAAGTGTTAACGCATTAATCACAATGCGATTTAGGTCTGACATTAGTTATTAGTTATTATTATTTTTATCACATTGATTGCGTGCTATTTTGTCACAGGCATAAAGCCACCGCACACAGCAGCGTCTCCCTGAATATGAATTCACACTTAACATGCACTTTGGATTTTTTTGTCCTTGGGTTGTTGTTCATCAAACAGCAGCTTCATGCAGAAAACTTCGGCAAATGGAACTAAAACCTAAAAGAAACAAAATGTGTTTACTCACATTAGTGTGAGTATGCTGTATCATTATTATTATAGTTTTCGTCTGTATTTAAAGACCTTGTAGAGCTAGGATTTACATTTTTTTGATGAGGTAGCATAGCTGCTAAGGTCTAAGTTGGGTGCATTTTCCATTATTTGGATAGGACAGTGAAAAGTGGGGGATGACTTGGGGGAAAATGTCAACGTCCGGACTTTCATGTTCATTTCAGCATCTTCTGCACAACTGACCACTGCACTATTGTCTTTTTAGTCGTGCATATATTAGTCTGTTTATTTATACTTTGTACACAGAGAGCACAGTTTATGTTCCTATGTTAAAGCAAAGCTGGTTCTGATTATGATTCAGTTAAAATAAAAGAAGAGATAGCTGTTGTCACATTTTTACAAGACACTTTGATGGAGCTTCAATATTTGATATTCTTGCATAAGGCTTTGAAATACCTTGTAGGGTTGTCATCTGGAAAAATGATCTCATAATTACCTGCTCATATCAGACATCAGCTCAAATGGGTTTTAAAAGGACATTGTATGTTTGGGAGCTTGCAGAATAAAGTTTCAGATTTTATTGATTCTGACATTTGCATTCTCAAGGGATGAGTACTTTACTTACTGAACTTTGGTCAGCATGGTTTAATACCCAAGAAGTAACTTTACAGCCCTAACTTTCCCGTCCAGTTTAAATCTGAAATACTGTTTAAAAGAATCCTGAATCACTCTGACAGGAAACAGTTTGTAATGAAGTTGTTTTTGTTACAGAAACATTTTGTTGATATTGGTCTTCAGGATGTCCTGTTCTTAGATTGCAAAGGATAAAATGTCAGACTGGATTAAAAGACTTCAGCTGTCTTTTCTTTTCTCTATCCACACGTCTCTTTCTTCCTCGCTCTCCTTCTCCTCCTCCTGATGGCTTTTACTGTTTCTGTGCTGTTCTTTTCCCCCCTCTCTGGTCATGTGATTTTTCTGTAGAGATGAGCAACAGTGCAGGAATCTGAGCCGCAGCCAACCCATTACATAAAACCCTCTCTCCCTCCCAATCGCTGCCAGAAAATAAAAAGTGAACCACTTGGTTCTCAGATGAAGTGAATGAACTCACTTCCTGAAGCTAGAGCGGAGATACATCAGAAAACGGAAAGAAAACAGACAGATTGTTTGAAGAACTAACTGTCTTATTCAAAACTGGCAGGTTTTTCACTCAGTTTTGTACTCGGGGTTTCTCCGAGCAGGGAGAACCACTGAGGAACGCTTTGTAATTTACAAAACTTTTACTGTCTGTGAACCAAGCTTCTCCCCGTAGCTAGTTTTTGTTTTTCTGGAAACAGTGTAGAGACGTCTTGTTGAGGTTAATTTAGTGTTTCATCTCTCTAAAATCTGACTTTTGAAAGTCTTTAAAAAGATTAGTCTGACACTGTCTTACATCTTGACACATTAATCAGATATTGTGAGATTCTGCAAAGACTTGATATCTTGTCTTGGTGCCTTGCTCAAGGGCACCTCGGTAGCGCTCAGGAAGTAGACTGGCACCTCTCCAGCTGCCAGACAGATTTCCAAATTTGGTCCGTACCGGGACTTGAACCGGCGACCCTTCCGGGTTCCCAACCCAAATCCCTACGGACTGAGCTACTGCTGCCCAAATGTAAACATCCATGTAAATTTGCTCTCGTCTGCACTTCTGTGTCTCTTCTTGTGCACTGATGTACTCAGATGAGAGGTCAGAGGGTTCTGCAGTCAACACAAAAATCTCCCTGGGCTGCAAAAAAACACACACAAGGCTGACTAGCACTCTGAGAAGTAGGCTATAGGGTTTTAAGCCTCACCTTGCAGCAGTGATATGTACAGGTGTGCACTTGGAAGCTGTGGCATGCTTGATGTAGTCAGAGGCGACCCTTTTCTACAGCAAAACACTGCTTTTGAATTTTTTTTAACTGTGTGTAAAATATCTCTGCTTTTCTCTTCCGTCCATTGTTCCCCTCTCAGACTTTCCTTGCTCTCCTTCCTCTGCTACCAAGTCTTAGTCCCGCTCACCCTTCCCCCTTCCTATCTTTGTTTTTCCTCTGTTTCTACCTTTTTTCTCTCTTTATCCGTCCTTACCCTGCCTCACCCTTCTATCTCTCTATAGTCTGTGTTCAGGTCTTCTTCTCTTTGTTTGTCTCCCTCTGGATTTTTCCACCCTTCTGTCCTTCTCTCTGCCTCTCTCTCTCTCTCTCTCTCTCCCTCCCTCTCTTTCGTCCAGCTGTTTCCTCCTCTTAGTCAATGTTTGTCGTTTGAAAACAGAAGTATATATCTAAAATACGTTTCTAGTGTGTTGTGTGTGTGTGTGTTACTGTGTTGCGTAACCTCTCTGAGTAGGCCACTGTTTGTTTCCAGGATTTATAAACTGCTCTGCTCCACCAGCACTAACATTGGGAAATCACACACTCACATAAACACACACATACACACTTACGGTCAGTCTTCTGCTAAAATAGGGCTAGGATGTGCTCAGGCTGATTATTGTTCGTCTGTCCTTCTGTAGTTGTGACCAACAGTGACTGTTGATCTACAGTAAAACATGAAGTCTTGGATTTGTGCACAAACAGAGTTTCCTCTCTGGTCGCAAAAGTTGTGCTGTTTATTCGAGTTAAAGAAACTTTGATTTAATCTCTGTTGTTTTATTTTAACATCCTTGCCTGAGAGTTATGAGGTTGTTGTTAGTTCAAAGTTGTTTGCAACATAACTACCAGATCTAAGCGAAGTTACAGCAACTATAAAAAAGTTAATTTACCCCTAATTTCTAATTTACCCGTATAATTTACCCATATATATATATATATATATATATATATATATATATATATTTTTTTTTTTTTTTTTTTTTTCATTTTACAACTCTCTCTCTTTTCTTTCTTTCAGAAATGTAGCATGTGTTTTGGTGAGATTGTTGGACCATCATGCACCTCTTCCTGCTGCTGATCCTTCAAGCCACAGCAGCTTTTGGACAGATCGATCCTGGTATAAACAGACACGCATAAACCCTCAGACACTCACATGATTGTCACCGACATTGACACAAAAAACATACGCAAATTAGTTCTACTTAATGCTATAAGTCATTCGAATTCTATTATTGTCCTCATTGTCATTGTGGCTCAAAGGTCCCCACAAAGTCACACACACACACAATTAAGATATTTTTCTACTACAGTGGTTGTGTTTAACTGATATTTCAACTCAATAACTATTATCCATTTGTACTTAAAAGTAATACTAAGTCTGAACTTTAAAAACATTGACGGTCCTCATTTCTTCCAAAAAAACAATGGCCCCCGCAAAGTGATAAATACAAGAATACATGCACACACATCAAAATACAGAAAAAGTGTTTCTGTATGCTTTTATCGTTTTTTGAAGGTTAATGACCTCGTTTTATATTTGTGTGTTCTCAGTACACTGTCGCTATGCCTTGGGCATGGAGGATGGTCGCATTAAAGATGATGACATCACAGCTTCCAGCCAATGGTACGAGACCACAGGACCACAGTACGCCAGGTCAGTGTGACTAAAATAGTGACATGGTTTATAATTAAACTGATGATTTTGTGTTCAATATGTATACTACTGTTATACTTGAAATCTTTCTAATTACCGTAATGGGAACATACAATGTACACAGTTACACATGTGGGATCTTTCAGCACAACATGTACAATCAATTTTATGACACAAAATGATTTGATGAGTGTCTAATTAAACTTAACCAAATAAAAACAACAGGTTTAAATACAAATAATTGATCATCCAAATAGTATGCTAAAATAAACTTTACATGACAAACTTCATAAAACAATGCAGAAAATCAAAGCATAGTGCTGCTTCATGTGCCTCCCAAATATGGCTTCTGTTTTTACGAGTCTCTGTAACTCCAGTGAAAGGAACAGGAAATGAACTGTGGTTAATAGCTCGGAGGGCTAAACTTTTAACAGTATGAAATGTCCCATGATCTGCAGACACAATTTTATTGAAATTATGTTTGGGTGCAGATATTCTATGTTAACTCTTGTGCATTTGCAGGTTGAATCGTGAGGAGGGAGAAGGTGCCTGGTGTCCTGAGGGACAGCTGGAGCCTTCAGACAGTCAGTACCTGCAGGTTTGTGTCCAACCGTCAGATAATATTTAAGTGTCTTTATGGTCGTGTGCCAGTCCGGGTTTAGATATCTAGTGGTGCCAATAAAAAAGCTGATGAGAGGCAAACAATCTCAAAATCTCAGCTTATAGTCAACTGTGCTAAACAGTGTGAACATAAAGTCTTAGTGTGTTTTGATGTACCCAACAGACAGCCTTTGGGTTTTCGGTGTGTCCCATTTATTTAACAAAAACCTGTCGATGTGTTTAAGGTGGACCTGGGCAGGCTGACTTTCCTTACTGTGGTCGGGACTCAGGGACGATACGCCAGGAACTCTGGGAACGAGTTCGCCCGAGCTTACCGCTCAACTACAGCAGGGACGGCCTGCTGTGGAAGTCTTGGAAAAACCGGCTAGGAAACACGGTGAGTGACCATACACAGCATTTTGAACAAGGGTCAAATCCTGCGGGGGATGGGAAATTGATTGGAAAATGAAACAGGCTTTTAAGAAGAGAAGAAAATCTGCTGCGGAAACATGTAACTAAGTGATAGAACAGAGTGATGGAGGGAAGAATGGGAGTTACTTCTGGTCATTCACACTCATATCAGAGGAAATGACATTTACGCACCAGCTTCCTGCTGACCTTCGAGGGACCTGGCAGCTAAAGCAACACCATCTGGGCAGTTTAAACACCCGACATTAATGCATTTATCAGAAAACTTAAATCGCATTGCAAACATGAACCATGTTTTGATACTGTCAGTTTATGAAAAAGCAGAATGCAGCACTGTTAAAACTTGAAACGTGAACTTTCTGCAATTTGAGTTTTCACTATTTGTGAATGATGTGTTAATATAACCGGCTGATTTCCTTTTTTTTACCTTGGTAAAAACTGTTCCATATCCAAAACATTAAGCAGTGTACTTTTAAGAATCAAGTACTGCAACAGCAGAAAAATTAGAAACATATGGCTTTCTTCAGGATGATTGATGTAATTGTTGTTTTGTGTTTTATTGTTTGTTTCCAGGTGATGCAGGCCAACAAAAATGCCTACGCCTCCGTCATCAACGACCTTCACCCTCCAGTCATCACTCGTTATGTGCGGCTGATCCCGGTCACCACGTTGTCGACAACTGTGTGCATGCGAGTGGAGCTGTACGGCTGTCCGTGGGAGGGTACGACACACAAACACACACTCAAACTTGACGAGCGTTGCTGACATTAGAATTGTTGATTTGTGGGGGCAGACTTTGAAGTTCTCTTCTCCAAAATATTTACTCCTCGGAAACCTCCTCCGTCAAAGACTTCAACATCTAACCAAATGGGGATTGTAATTTCTTGCCCGCTAAAAACTTCATGATCTGCAGGTCTTTTTTAAATGTTTGGTAACCATGGTAATTAGGCTTAGGCCCTGATTTAGCAAATATATTGAGTTCCAAATAAAATGGTCACATCCTTGCTCAGCACAGGAAAATACATTTCCTAGATTCCAGATATCTTCAATAAACTCTCCAAAATGTAGGACAACACGGGTCATTCCTAACTTTGAGTTTACCATCAGGTCATTAATCTGGTCGGAGTGATCCATTTCTATTTTTTTAATATGCTGCTTTAAAAACTGCTGCAACTGGACATAATATTTTATTGACATTGACTCTTTTCTTCAGTCACTTAATAGTGAAATCTATTAGAGCACAACTTATTCCCCTCTCGTACCTGCCCCCCCCCCCCGTAGATGGTCTTGTCTCATACAGCGCTCCAGAGGGTCAGCTCATGATGCCGCCCGGTTACCCCATCGCCAGCCTCAACGACTCCACGTATGACGGAGATCATGAGAAGAGGTGAGTGACGCACAATAATTGCATCACTCATCAGTGTTTCCTGTTTCCCTGCTGGTTCTGACGGTCAGCTGTCTCGTCCAATAGGAAGCTGTTTGGCGGGATGGGTCAGCTGACGGACGGCGTGATCGGTATGGACGACTTCCTTCTGACTCGTCAGTACCATGTGTGGCCAGGCTACGACTACCTTGGCTGGAGGAATGACTCGCTGGGAACTCAGGGATTTGTGGAGATGGAGTTTGTGTTCGACAGGCAGAGGAACTTCACCTCCATGAAGGTTTTAGATTCTGCTTATTTTACCTCATCATAGATCTCATGAGCTGATTTATAGACACTTACTAACAGGATTGAGCAGAACTTCTGATGAGCTTGTCCAGTAATGCAAAGTATACATTAACTTGGCATTGGGCACAGCAAACCAGAGTTCTTTGATAGTTTTGAAATGTGGAGAAATCATCTATAGGAATAATGTTGTTTCTTGGTGAGGCAAACAGAACGGAGCGATTCTTTTGATCTAACATACATTATCTCTCTTCTGCCCGCCGATCAGGTTCACAGTAACAACATGTTCTCCCGCGGTGTGAAGATCTTTGCCTCTGTTTCCTGTTGGTTTAAGCCTCGCTTTGCTGGCTGGGAGGCGGAGGCAGTGGCGTTCAAGACGGTTTTGGACGACAGAAACCCGAGTGCCCGTTACGTCACTGTCCCTCTGAACCGCCGCACGGCCAAATCCCTCCGCTGCCGCTTTAACTTCGCCGACGTCTGGATGATGTTCAGTGAAATCTCCTTTCAGTCTGGTAACAACACAAAAACACACTCACACAAACACACACATACAGACAAACACAGACTTGCTTCTTTAAAAAAACTAAAACAAAATAACTTGCCTTTATTTGTCCCTCAGAGGACACCGTCCTCTCCACACAGATGACCATGGCGGTGACCTCCTCTCCAGCCAATAAGGATAGCACCATGCCAACGACGCTACAGACAGGTGTGACGCTTGACCTCTACACTTAAATATTTAATAATCTTTAAAACTGAAACACTTTCTGTGTATTAATTGTAGAACAAGAAACTGTCAACACATTTTAACTGTGACATCAGAATCATGAAATAGAACAACACTTTCCTCTTTCTCGTCTGCAGCTAATCCATCCGCCAGTGACCCTCCAGATGACGGGAAAACGCCCATTCTGATTGGCTGCTTGGTGACCATCATCCTACTGCTGGTCATCATCATCTTCCTCATCCTGTGGTGCCAATATGTCTGTAAGGTGCTGGAGAAGGTGAGCAAATAAACAGCGGACGGACAGTTTAGGGACTTATTTAAGGAAAACAGGAAGTTGGCTTGAATTAGTTCATGCAACGTTTTTAATTTATGCATTTCTGTTTATTTAAGTTTCTTATTAGGTTGACACAATTTCCTTCCCCAAAGAGTGTTCTTATTGATATCTAAATAAAATAAAAAAAGTGAATTTACTTTTTTCCAGTAGATGCTGGTGGCTTTGAGACTCTGCTGAAACTGCTTTCTCTGGTCTAAAGGAAACATTTTAATCTTAAACAAAAAGCCATATCTCTGTAGGGCTCCTTTCTGTTATGTTGTCAGACACTTCAAATAACAATCTAAACCTGTCGGAGCCAAAAACAACAACGTTCAGGGGACGTACTAATTTTGCAGATTTCGTCTAATGATTTCATTGCTGCCTGTTTGCAGCTTTTGCTATCTACTGGGGCAATTTGAAAACTTCTTTGTAGCTGTAAGCCGTATTATCGCAATTATAGTTAAAGCACAAAGGACTAAAGTCTGAAAGTGACACGCAGCAGAATGCGCAGTACCAGTTTTAAACACTAGGTGTCAGAGTTACATTTCCCTCCTTTAATACAAAAACAGAAAATAAAATGTTGTACAAATAATGACTGGAGAGATAACTCTTTTCACTTTTGAATTTGAAATAAGTTTTTCCCATCCTCTTCCAAACCAAATATTATATCTCCTTTTAATCTGGTGTTGTCATGGAGCCAGGTCTCATACAACAATACAAAAAGCTTCACTACAAGCATCAAGTTTATTCACTGACGTCTCAGAGACTGGTATAAATAATAGAAGAACACTCAGATTATTGGTCTGTATTTTCCCTTAAAGAATACAACTGTTTCCTCCCTCCTCCTTCAGGCTCCACGTCGGATCCTTGATGAGGAGGTGACAGTTCGGCTGTCGTCCTGCAGCGACACCATCATCCTCCAGACCCCCCCTGTGCCCCCCCGCTCTGGTCATGCCTCTACAGGTAGACAATAAAATATATTCTGTCTATCACTATACCTCAAATTCAGTATGAGGCTGGAGAGTCTATGGGTTTGAACATCGGAAAGCAAAGAGAACAGAAGATTTTAAGACTTTAACGCCTCCTCAGTTTTCACCAGAACCTTTTTTGTTTAAGCTTTTTGTAACCACAGTCCCATCAAGAATATCTTGAATAACAAATGAGTTGTTGATGTACCACTGCCTTGATTGGGTTGTATTTGTGTTATTGTTTACTCCCGTTTACTGCAGCCTGAAATCACTGTTTTGTAAATGGTATTTGTTAGCTTTGAAGAAAGTGATTTACTGAGCATCTTCCTCTGGTTAAAAAAAGCCTCTTACTCTTTGAAAAGGTCTGTCTCTGTGGGATTCTTTCAGACACTTACTATGACGATGTGAGCCTGTCAGTGACCAAAACAAGCACTTTATTCAAACATGTTTCATTTAGGTTCATTGCCCTGACCAATCATGGCCCTGTTTATACCTTGCATTGCATCCTTTTGTTTCTGAGGAATCGTAGTATGAAAAATCCCTTAAATAAATAATAAGAATATGTTTTTATATATACAGTCATTGGAATATGGATCCAGCTGGTTTTTTGTTGGTTCCCTCATGTGCTTTGCTCTCCTCAGGCCCCGCCAACACTGACCCTCACTATGAGAGAGTGTTCCTGTTGGACCCACAGTACCAGAACCCGGCCGCGCTGAGAAACAAGCTGCCGGAGCTGTCGCAGAGTGCAGAGGCCTCAGGTAAACCTACTGGGAGTCCTTTTTTTTAAATCTAGTACTGACAGGAGTAACAGATTATTACATTAACAAATATTAGTTTTCCCTTTAAATCTCACCATTTCTGTTGCTGTTTTTTGCTAAATGTTCAGGTTTTATGAAGCATCTGAGAGGTGACAGCTCACCTTCATTAATCTAAAGAATCTAAAGAAAGAGTCTGAGTGGAAATAAATCTGAAACAGTGATGCCCGAGAGTGCTGCAGATATTCCTCCATAGCAAGTTCGAACATGAGCTGACAGAGTCAAGGCCTTTATTTAAATACATAAAACTGCTGCAGTCTGCCCCCTGCTGGCAGATCACTAACTCCTTTCTCTTCCATTTTTTTCTGAACAGCTTTTGAATGCTTATCTGCTTTTAACTCTCTGACTGTCCTCACGAAAACATGGCACAAACTCCATATCTTTCTTTTTTCTCTTTATTTGTCGTCAGTATTTTCTTGACTCTGCTGTAAAAAGTGACGTGCATGCTCATTCATTCTGCAGTTTTTCTCTCTTTTACCTCCCAGCCCTGTCTGTCTCTGTCCATGTTTCCTCCTCCTCCTTTTCATCCTCCAGCTCTCCTCCTCGGTAATCCTCTCTATGACCTCATCCTGCTGACTTCCTGTTACATGACGTCAGGCTGGCTGCGTGGTAAGAGCTGAAAGGTGTGACTTCAGACATTTAAACATCTACCAGCTTTAGTAGATTATAAAAGAACTGTATTTTTGTTTTTAAATTCCTTCCTGCTGCAAAATTATTCTCAGATTTAGAAAGTGACTTCCTTTAAGGATTGCGTAAACCTTTTTTAATAAGGTCCGAAATCATATATCTTGATGTGTTGAAGGAAAAAAACCTTTCTGTGTTCTAACCTCTCTCCATTTTTCAAAAGCATCTCCAATATTGATCCTAGTTTGAGCACGTTTCTGCTCGTGGAGCTTATTAGACACATGCAGAGGCTTTTTAGGTCGGGTACAATCACTTCTATCTGAACCACTTCTCTGTCCCGCTTCCATCGCTACAACACCTGTTGACCTGATAACTGCTCTCATATCTGACAAACCGAGGGGCGTCCAAAACGGCCGTGTTTAAAACCGCCTACCTTCTCTGGTCCAAACAAATGCAGAGCATTCAGGACCAGAATCTAAAGTTAGAAGAAGGACATACTGGCTGCTGCATTGTTGTCAGAGAAGCCAGCACTTCAACATAGCATGTTTCCTTAATGTCTGATCAGATAGTGAGGTCACTTTATCATTCATTTAATATGTTGGTCTAGTCACTAGACCGAGCGTTCCACTTTTGCATCGGTAATGTGTCCCTGTAAACACTTAGACTGTAGTGTTTACAGGAACACAGACAATGAGCATAGCTTCATAAATATAATACAAAGTAGATGCAATGCATACATGTTTGTAGCCATGGCTTATTTGCAATTACTATCCCTGGCTTGGCTATTAGGACTCAACTTTTAGACTTGCAGAAGCATTATAAAGCAGTACAAATGATTGATTATAAGTAAAGGAAGGATTACAAGAGGAAACACAGTGAATGTCTTAGACTTTCTTAAGTTTCAGCCACTGCTTTATATGAGTTTTAAAAGCCTTGAGCTGTGTCAGTTTTTAATGTCAGATGATAATGTGTTCCTCTTACTGAGAAGGATGACTGACCAAATGTGGTTCTGCATTTTGATGCTCTATAGTTTCCACCTGGTGTAGCACTCATTCCGATTCCCTGTTTGGTTTGTTTACCAGCTGACTGTTGATTGTTTTTGGAAAATCAGTTCTATATGAGCCGCAACCTCTGGTGTTAAAAAATGAAGCCAATGTTGAAGTGCATAAAAACTGCAGTTCATCGAGTGTCCACTTGAGGCTGGGTCAAAAAGACCTGGAAGTCACATAGACACCCCATGTTAAAATGTCTGTTTTGACAGAAGAAATCAACATGTTTAAAAGTTTAAAAACCCACCTAAATAAACACACAACACTTCATTTTCTCTCCAACAGCTTGTGGAGGAGGTTACGCAGAGCCAGACATCACCCAGTGCACTCCCCACCAGTGTTTCCATAGCAACGCACCGCACTACGCCGAGACGGACATCGTGCGGTTGCAGGGCGTCACAGGAAGCAACATGTACGCCGTCCCCGCCCTCACCGTGGACTCTCTCACCAGAAAGGACATCTCGGCGGCGGAGTTCCCTAGGCAACAGCTGATCTTCAGGGAGAAACTGGGGGAGGGGCAGTTTGGAGAGGTGAAAAAAGAACACTTCATAAAATAAATTAAAGTTCAATTGAAACTCTAGCATTATAAAAACATGTTTAACACCCCTTTATCTCCTGAAGGTCCACCTGTGTGAGGCTGAGGGTCTACCAGAATTCCTTGGGGAGGGGTCGCCTCTCCCTGACAGAGATGAACATTCAGTGCTTGTGGCTGTTAAACAGCTGAGGGCCGACGCAACCAGCCAAGCCAGGTACACAGCGTATCAGTTAACCAGAAACAGTTCAAACGTCAGTCTCTTCAGTCTTCAAATTCACCAGACCAGACTGACAAAAACAATCATTTTATGTTTAAAGAAACAGGCGTTGCTGGTCTACTGGTCTCTGCTGGTTAGTATTTTGACACAGTTACCGTGTTGGATCTGAATTAAAGATTTTGTAAGCGGTCAACTGGCTTCTCCTGTTTTCAAGTCAAAAATTTAAGTTTTTCTCTGGGGGATTGGACAAGAATAATTTAAAGGCTGCCTTTAGATCAAATAAAATAAATCTCTTTGACAAAGAAGTCTTTCTTTGTAAGGACGTAGTGTGTACATTTACTGCTTGTGCCTACACTGCAAGCTACCGCACGCTAGTTCAAGCTAACAGTTTGGCACCTGCCTGTCCCACAGAAAGCTTGAGGCCAACCCCGTGTCCTTGGGGTAAAAGCAAATCAAATCCATCTTTAACGTTTGACTTCTGTTTTCAATATTGCTAGTTCATGTCCAAAGCAATTTCCCTGTAAAAAAAATGAACCAATCAGGGGAGAGGTACACCAGCAGCTCTCATGTTTGTCAGTGTGCATTTTTATTCTTTTCATCCATGAAGTCTGTTGGCTTTTGGGAGAAAAGATAAAGTCTGCTTCTGGTTTTGGAAAAAAAAACACATTACAATCTGAAAGTAAAACAAATGAAAGCTAAAGACGTCCTCTTCATCTTCCTGTCCCTCAGGAACGACTTTCTGAAGGAAATAAAGATCATGTCTCGTCTGAACGACCCCAACATCATCCGACTGCTTTGTGTGTGCGTGTCGTCCGACCCGCTGTGTATGGTGACGGAGTACATGGAGAACGGCGACCTCAACATGTTCCTCTCACAGCGGGAGATCGAGAGCACGCTCACACATGCCAACAACATCCCTTCAGTCAGGTTAATTTATATCATACTTACTATGAGGTTATAATGCTAATATCATGTTAGCTTAACTTTTACCACCAAGTTGATATTAATCCATATTGCAAACTTCCGGAAAAAAAAAAAAAGTTGACCTTCTTTTTCCTGCTTCCTGCTCCAGTCTATCCGACCTCCTTCACATGTCGGTGCAGATCTCGTCGGGGATGAAGTACCTGGCGTCTCTGAACTTTGTGCACCGTGACCTAGCCACCAGGAACTGCCTGCTGGACCGCCGTCTCACCATCAAGATTGCGGACTTCGGAATGAGCCGAAATCTTTACAGCAGCGACTACTATCGCATCCAGGGCCGGGCGGTGCTGCCGATACGATGGATGGCCTGGGAGAGCATCCTGCTGGTGAGGGACAAGACGAGTTGAACTAAGATAGAAGACAAAAGAAAAGGATTTATTTAGATGGGACAAAATCAAAACTAAAGTCATTTCATTAATTTACTAAAAGAGCAGCTCTAGAAGTAAAGTTTGTTATATTATTTAAAGTGTTATGTTGTTATGTGTTTTTGTACTTTAAATACTGGTACCCTGGCACTAACGGCAACAAAATCTTTTGAAGTGATGTCTCAGTTTTGGTTTCTTTACTCTCACAACAGCTTTGTCTTTCTGTCGAGAGTTCCTCCCTGATTAATGCTGCTTTGCTGAAGCTCTCACAGTGAAGACGCTCGTGTTATATTCCACTTAGAAATTGTTTTTTTTGGTCTGCCCTTGCCTCTTCTCCAGGGTAAGTTCACCACTGCCAGTGATGTGTGGGCGTTTGGTGTCACCCTGTGGGAGATCTTCACACTGTGTAAGGAGCAGCCCTACAGCCTGCTGTCTGACGAACAGGTCATAGAGAACACTGGCGAGTTCTTCAGGAACCAGGGCAGACAGGTGAGGCCAATCAAAACAACCCACAATGGATTTAGCTTCTTTTATGATGTGTCTTTTATCGCTTGTAAAGTAATGTCCTCTATAGTGACCACCTATCACAGCAACTGCAAGTCGTTTAAAAAACTTTCATCGGTGGAATAATTATACAAGTTTGTGATTCACTGTAACTGAATATAAGCTCTAACTCTGTTAACGTTTCAAACATGTAGCATTGCATGGAAACAGCTTCTAACTAAAAAAAACTTCCCAATAACTTCACTCCATTTGACATCTACAAGGTTGCCGTTTCCTCCACATGGGGGAGCTGTTCAGTCATTATTGTGCAAGCTTTACACGTGACATCCAATCTCAGGATCCCTTTGGTGCATGTAAAAAACATGTCAGAATGTTTTTTCTAACTTGTATATGTCATGTATGTCACTGGACATTTTGACCTCTTGGTCCCTTTTTAAATAATGAAATAAACATGAATTCCAGAGGGGAGACATGGATGGGCATTTTAGGAAAAAGAAAGAAGTTACACTTTATTCATCTAGCTGAGGGAAATTAAATTTAACACTCTGTTATTGAGAGATGCTACACACACACACACACATGCACAAACAGGATCCTATTGACATGCACTAATGGAGAGAATGGGGGGTTCTGTGCCTCGCTCAATGGCGCCTCGGTAGTGTACTGGCACCTCTCCAGCTGCCGGACCAATTTCCAGATTTAGCCCGCCATGGGACTTAAACTAGGGAAACCCTGTTTGTCAAATATCCAGTAACCACATGAAGATATTTTAATGCCAACAGTAAACAGGCCCTGTGTCTTTGATTCATTTCAAACCTTTATTTAATCCTCAAAAATCATTGAGGTCATTTACAATGATGTCGAGATACAAATCACAACAAACAAAAAAGGTCACAAAATAAAACAACAAAGACAGGTCAGGATGATTCTCAGTAAAAACAATGGCACACTGTGGTAAAATGGTTTGAGATCATTGTCTGAATTTGTCCAAGAGAAATATGAGTGTCAATCTTGAGAGAGTGTTGTAAAAATGTTCCACATTTTTGGAGCAAAAAAGCTAAAAGCGATTGGAAATGTATACAGCATAAAAAAGTACTTCTGAAACAGTGGCAAGGAAAACGCACTTTTACACAGGCAGAAACCTCGAGCAGAACCAGACTCATTGGTGAATGGCCAAATGCCGTCCACCAAATGGGCTGAGAAAGTTCCTTCTGTTTTAATAACATATTATTTAATACAACACTAGAAGTTTTTAAGATAGTCCTTGTGAAGTTCAAGCATCAGATCACTGTTTAACTGTCCTCTATCACCCTGCCAGATCTTTCTTTACGGCCCTCCACTCTGCCCACCTTCACTCTTCGAGCTGATGATGCGCTGTTGGAGCCGAGACATACCGGACCGACCCACCTTTGAGGGACTCTACCAGGCCCTGAGGCCCCACGTCAACCAGTGAGCCGAGGCCTGGAGGACGTACCACTCAGGGTCTCATTCATGGTGGGTTTGTTCATCTCTGGACTCCTGTAAGAAGACAAACTGACACGAGAGGACAGAGGACTGGAATTGCGTTGCGAGAGAGTTGCTGTCATGAAGAATGAAATAACTGTGGTCCGATGGATGGTTTACATTGTGGTAACAACGGCGCTCTATTCTGCAAGACACGATGTAGAAGAGAGACAGCTGGTCGACTTATTGGAGAAGCGTCCTGTGACTCAAAATGTTTAAATCAAAACCTTTTTTCAGTCGATAGTGAACAAAGATTTTTAAGCTTTTGAAGATTTCTATCATTTGTGATTTCACAGTACTATCTTTTGTAAGCCCTCTTGACCAAAATGTCTTTTCACTTAACTTTCTTTCTGTCCTAAACTTTGTTTTTTCCTCGCTTTGGCTTTTTAAAGAAGCCAAAAACTGGACGGACTCTTCATCATGGTAGTTTCTCCTTTCCCTGTGGTTTTTATTGTTAATGTAAAGCACTGTCTGTGTCTCTCAGTTATTCATGTTCTTATATTAACCCACACTGGAGCTAGGGCTAGGGTCAAATTGTAGAGTAGTTGTATTTTTTTGATTTTAATTCTATTTTATTGTTCTGGTTTTTACAGTATTTCATTTTTGTTGGTCTTGGATGTTGATATGAATGTTGTTCAGCTGAGGTTCACGTTAAGGTGCCGGGAGGCTGCGTTGAAACCTGTGGGGTTCACGGACTGAAAATCAGTCTGATAATCGTGGGTGACTGTCTCGATTCTCGATATTGAAACCAATAAGTAAAATGTGTTGTGCCTTTTTTGTTGCCAAAGAGAAATAAAGTATGTAAGTAATAAAAAATTGTAAAACCATCCTTTTTATGAATGGCTAATTTATGGCTAAACAGTTTCTATGCCTTACAATTGTAGCATGAGTTGTAATTATGGGAATTAAAGCAACATCAACAACACTGTTTCTGCTGCTTGAGACTAATGAAGAAAGGATCTGAAGGTGACATTTAACAAAAACTATATTCAAGCCTATGACGTGCACATTATTGGTCTCTGTTAGCCATTACACTGTAAAAAAAAAAAATAATAATAATAATAATAATAGTTATAACTATAGTAGTTATAGTTATAAAAAAATAGTTATAGTTATAACTAAAAAAAGTTAGTGTCTGAGGGGGCCTTCGGGAGGTCTCGCCTTTTTTTATATTAATGCAAGACAAAGGACAATATACTTACAAAACAACATGAGAGACAATTACAATTTCTGGGGTACTGCACGTGTGTGAGTGTTTATAGGCTCTCTGTTGAAGGCTATGGAGATCCTGGAAGGGAAGAAAGAGAAAAAGAAATACAAAGCCACACAGAATAAAAATAAATACATGAATAAATAAATAGCTTGATGCTATAGCAATGATTAAAAATATTCATCTAAAATATAATCATCCACATCATTGCCATCATCGTCATCACTACCATCAGTAAAAAAATAATGGTATTATGATATCAATGAATACAGGGGATGTGTACCTGCCTAACTACCACACAGACACGGATTTGATTAACACAAAAATTTTTACTGTCCTGAATTAGTGAAAAAAGAAAAAGCAACCATTTATTCTGGTGCTGACTAGCAAGAGTGACAACTTTACAAACTTTACAAGTTTAGTTGGCTAATTGCACACACTCCTAAACTAAACCTCTCAAGACTGTGGGTTAGGGTTATGCATCTTGAAGGACAAATGCTCCTTATTTTTGTAATAAAAAATAACGTTACTGTTACTGATCAGCAATGTGAGTGATCTCAGAAGGACTTTAATTTATTGGTCATTAAACCTGACTTGCTTGGTTTGATGCATGGATCATCTTTCGGTTTCGTAAGGGAAGTTTAGGTTACTTTATAGTATTGGAAAGTGATGGCAGGTGTTGCAAAACGTTGCAGGACAGAACATGTTATCTTTGTGAGAACCATACTTGCTATAATTATCCTTGGCGAAAGAAAAGCTAAATTTTACAGAGAGATAAAAAAAGAAGCAGAGGTTTGTTGGAGACGTACTGGCTGAGTGGCCACAGCTTTCATAAGGGTGGTTCAACTTTGGGTCAGACCCAAAAAGAAAATCAAAGGGAGATAAAGAATGGTCCAGATTTGATTTTATAGGGTCAGCTAATGTTGCCAAAAGTCGCTGTAGTTTCAGGTATGAAGAGTAATTGACTCTTTTTATGCTGGAGTCTAAAAGTAGGTTTCACTATGATTTTTAGATGGCAACAGAAATTCCCTCAACGTGTAAAGGTTTACACAACACTGGGCAAGATGACAGCTGCTTTTATAAGTGTTTCATTTTCTAGCTGTGTGTGATGCTAGAGTAGTCGCAGCCAAACCCAACCTGGCTGTAATTGTTGGTGCTGCTCCGCCTGCTGTTGTCCTTCTGAGTGTGTAGAGGTTTGGTCAAAACGAGTATTGTTTTCATCTTGTTGGTGTGAACACAGTCACGTTCACAAAGATGCAAAGGACTAGAGGCTTAAGTTAACTCTCCTAACTTGTTTTAATGGCAATTAAATGAATAAAATAATATCAGGGTATCACAGATAACATCAGTTATCATCAAATCCAGTCGTTTGATTTTGAAGAGATCAATTAAAAGGCTACAATAACCGCCCTAAAGACTCTTCACACATTTTCAAATAAAAAAGGGTGGTCAACAACTGAGCAGATTTAAAGTGATTCTATATAGTGATGTGTAGTTCGTGAACGATTCGTTCAAAACGAATCATCTGGGTGAACGAACTGAACTGAATCACTTACTGAAAAGAGTCGTTAATTTCTCAACTTCAGTTGCGCTCTCCTCTCTCCCGTCTCGTGTCTCTCTCTCTAGACCGTAAGAGTCGCTCAAAGCCCGCCCTCCCTCTCCTTTCATGTCAGTGATACGTACTGACTGAACCAACAGGACGGAGTCGGTCGGGAGCTCTGTGTCGCTAAAGCCCGCCCCTACTTCTCCCTCTCATGTCTCCAAAATTGAGAAAGTAGCAAATATATTATTTAACATTTAGGTGTCGCGAAAATGTATGTGCTTTTTATAGCTGCTGTCAGTTTGCAAACGGCTTTTATATCCAACTCAATTTTTAACATCCACTAACGATCGTGTTTCAGTCAGTACAGTGTGTGTGTGTGTGTGTGACTGAGGCTGGTGACTCGAAGCCTCGCTCGTTCATGTTCAATCAGTGTTTCGTTCACTGAACGAACTGAGAGGAACAGAGTGACTCGGAGGCGAAGCTCTCGTTCAGTTCATTCAGTGATTCATGTGAACAAACTGAACGAGAGCGCCGCCTCCGAGTCACTCTCTTCCTCTTCTTGTACTGAACGTACTAAACAGAACGGTCGGGGAAAATAAATGTGATTGTTTTAGCAGCTTTCAGTTTGCAAACTGTAGCTTTATCCAACTAAATTCTCAGCTCATTGGCTTATTATTCACCACCGGCTGTTCTCAGTACGATCGCAAGCAGAACTAAACGTTCGGCCGTGTTTCAGCTTATTAAATTCTGATTCACAGGCAGAGCTGCAGAGAAGTACTGAACGATTCGGTGAACGAATCTTTTGAACGACTCACTTTACTGAACTGATTCTACTGATTCAGTACACTGAAAAGAACTGCTTTTCCCATCACTAATTCTATAAATCCTTTATCAGAATCAGAATCTGATATGATTAAAAGAAAAATGAAAAGTAAAAGAGGCCCAAGAATAGAGCCCTGTGGAATGCCTAATTTTATACATGTGTTGCAAGACAAATGATTGATTTAACAGGACAAACAATGGCCAATTGGATACGAAGGTAGGTCATTTGTTGAACTTATAAAGTCTATATTTTAACATGAGTGCCTACTGCAGAGTTTGAATTTGCTCTCACAACCTACAAGCCAGTTACGGACAAACCAAAAGCATCTCAAGACACTTGAGACACACAAAAAGCAGGTATAATACCTTACTCATTATGTTAAAAAAAGAACAGGTAAATGACCATACTTATTGCTATATTACAAAAACTCAACGTTAATCTACTTTGAGCACTAAGCAACATTCAGCAAAGTTACAGTAGCAAGAAAAAACGACCTTGCCAAAACTGTGCAGGGCTTGAAAAATGAGGAAATCAGGACATATCAGGTAGGGATCTCTCAAAAAATTTAGAAAAAACTATACTTGACTATAATTTTTTTATTTAACTACTTAATATAAATGAAAAGGAACAGTGCACCCCCTCCATGAATCAGAAAGTGGCAGTCCAGCTCATACTGTTTGATATACTTTACAGATGGTTAGCGGAAAGTACAGTGAAATATGAGCCACCTCTCTGATGTTTAATGGAAAGTGTGTGGATCTGTACTCTTAACTGTTTGACCTTGAAGTCAGGGGCCAATAGGCTGAAGTGGAATCAGATTCTGTCAAGTTTTTATTGAGTCGGGCCTCTATTAGCTTTTGTGAGAGCTGCTTTACAGGCAGATTAGCAGATATAAGCTTTCACGATACCTGTTTAAGTACCAGGGCTACAAAATACATGCTAAAGGCACCCAATGTTTGGTAATTTTTTTTTTTTTTTGATTCCCAAAAAATGAAAGCAAACTCCAGCACACTGTCTATAGTGTGTATCGCACAAATACTGAAGAACTTTGAGAAGATGTAATTCTAAATTCTGTTTTACAAGTAATGCAATGATGTGTTTGTTATGGGGAACATTTTAAATGATCTGAGCTTACTCATTTGATTAATGCCACGGCAAAATATTAAACAGATTTTAAAGAAAATTAGGCTTTTTGATGTGTATAATGTGTGGCCCAGCAGAGGCAGGAATCCAACCCAGGGCTGCAGGAGTAGGCTGTATAGGTAGAAGGCATGCTCACTACCAGATGAGCTAAATGTAGCTAAATGATGTAGCTCATTTTGTCAAGTAATTCATTTCAAAGGAGCTCATTCTGTCAAGTGAGGAAGCTCTCTCTGTCAAAGGTAGCTTATTCTGTCAGCCAAAGAAGCTTGTTCTTTTGGGTAAGGTAGGGTAGCTCTGTCTATCAGGTACAGTAGCTCATTCTGTGAAAAGTATGCTCATTTCATCATGTAGCTCGTTAGGTAGCGCATAAAGTCATAACAATCATCAATCAATCAATTAATCAATCAATCCATCATTATTTGTATAGCGACAATTCATAACAAGTGTTATCTCGAGACGCTTTACAAAACAGCATATGGGATAAAATGCAGGAAGGATTTATCCTTTGTATTCCTTGCATTCCTGTTGTCCACACTTCCTTCCCAAAGAATGAGATTAAAAAAATTGAAAACCTCAGTATAGATAATGGCAAGATGGGGGGAGGGGTAACCCATATTGACTAAGGGGGAAGAAAATAGTGAACGATAAATTCCTACATGAGCATTTTTTATCATGGCTGCCCTTTGGCCTTTTTTATGAACACAAAGCACAACCTCCATGGCGTCAAAAACAAAGCCTTCATGAAATCGCAAAAAGGAAAAAAGCGCTTGAGGCTGGTTCCAAAAGTGAGTCAATCTCCATAGAGACATCTTTAGAGCAGAATTAAACATGCTAACATCTAACGCACATTGCTCTATTCATGAACACTTTACAGAGGCACATATTCACACAACTCATCCTTTTTTATTCTATTGAGGTGTGATTTATGATAAATTAAAGGCGTGGCCTCTTTGAGTGATTGCTAGATGTCTGCTTGGTGTCACTTCAGCTAATTCAGTTTATGAACTTTAACCTCAGTGTTTGAGCTGTTAGAGCCTTTTGGAAAGGTTTTCATGTAAATCTGTCTTGTGTTCCCTCTTGGCCAAACAGGCTTCTGCTTCAGAGTTGTTGTTCTTTTTGTTAATTGAATGGAGCTGTATTGGGATTGCCTTTTAAAATGGATCTTAAGTCCGTACTTGAGGAACTGGAGGTTATATCTGCCCTCAAGCTATTTGAGAAGGTGATTTGTGTTAGAAACTGATGAGCTCACTTCACAGAGACTAAAGAAGTGTAGAAACTTGGCCTAGTTTGTTCAAAAGCAACTTCAAATCAGTCAGACTTGACATTTTGTGTGTTGTTTTATTCACGAGTTTGGGATCTACTTTTCTTAATTAAGCACAAATTTTAAAGTTTTAATGGACAGATAAAATGTAGATCTTTAACCTATTTATTTGCACACTGTAGCTTAACATATGGTTGAATTTAAGTTTGGTCATGTGCCTTACGTGCCTCATTTGCTGAATGCAGGTGTGACGTTCACCAACATGACTGCATCAAGTATTTAACACCTTTTTACAGGCCAGGCTGTGGAGGGTATCTGCTTTGTGCTCACTACTTAAATGTTTCAGGCACAATGTTTAAACTTCTTAGTATATAAAGTGCACATGTCATGTTTCTCAGACTCAACGTTGATGTTCTATATCGTTTCTGAAATTTCTTATGTTTGAACAAAAGCATTTCTCTCATTGTGTTCTACATACACTCTAAAGGTGATGATGATGATGGTGATGAAGGCAGTACCACTGTGTCTGGTATTTCCATGGCTCTTTATGTGTCCTGTGTACAGGAGGCCCCCTCCAGGCGGCCAGCCCTCATTATGAAGCTGTTTAAACCGCTCAGATCAGGCCGACACCTGCTTCTCATTGGAAACAGCAGCCGCTGCTGCCTTGTATTCCTAAAAGGGAAGTGCAGATCGCTGCGATAAAGCCAGCCTGCCTTTCATCTTTATACTAATGTCATAAAAAGGAACTCTTGTTCAGCTTGATCACTTTTTCCTTTAACTTGAAGGAATCACCTCAACTACGTACACGTGTTGCTGCTGCAAGCTAGCTGCGTGGCTACCTCCTGCTACTGCAGGAACAATAGGGCGTTTGTATTTCCACTGCCAAAGAATCCAGGTGTGACCTGGTGTGATCCTGCACTGGAGTCAGTGAAACATAAAACTTAATTCGAAAATGTATCATACTATTACTCTTTAAATGTATTTCTATTTTCAGAACCAAAACTTTTTCAATATTCACATCAATTTCAGATTACACCTGTGGTGCTTTAGCTTTATTAAAACTAAGACTTTCTGAAACTGAGTTTAGTCAGTACAGATAGAAACAGAGAGTCTTCATATGGCATTTTCTAGACAGAAAACGAACATCCATCTTAGGGAGCTACTACTGCTGACATGCAGAGGAGGCATGCTGGTTATGAGTGGTTCCCGTGTCTAAAGGCGTTATTTTCACATCTTCCACCATCTCCACAGGGATGAGGGGTAACCCCGTATCAGAGCTGGCCTTCACAAGTTTTTCTCTACAAGTCTCCCTGCACTCCAATGACCTGATTCTTCTATGCAGCTGGAGTCTTCTCTTGTAGTTTTTATAATATGCAGGTACTTGTAAGAACTCACAATCACAATATCCATTCCTTGAATGGTCATCGATGTGGTATGAGTGGTTTTGTGCCTGTGAAAACAACCAACAATTCTTTGTTTTTTTCAGCGGCAGTTCCGTTGGTACCAGCCTGCAAAGTCCATGCTCGTTTACACCAGCAAGAACATCCTCAGTGTGCACAAATGGTAAATGTGATATGTGTTTTTCATCAGTTAACCTGACTACTTTGTCTTTGGACTGAGGGAGGAAGCCAGAGTACCTGGTGAGAACTCAAACAAGTACGAGGAGGACATGCAGACTCCCCACAGAAGGGTACCAGTCGACCGGCCAGCAAGTCGATGCACTAAACCTCCTTGTTTTATGACAAACTGCTGACCACAGCACCTCCATGTCACCCAATGTTAAACATTTAGCTGCTCTTAAAAAGCAGTACCTGATAAACACAATCATTTCTGGAATGATTTTGAAATTATAAATAACAAATTACTGATACTAGGAACAATATGTCAACAATCTTATCTTGACATCAGGCAGGTTATTTAGATTTCAGAGATTTTCCAGTAGAGCAGATGGAATCACAGTGGATGAAGCAGCTGATAGTTAGCAGATGCTCCAGCTGTCCCTTCAGGGGGACAATGTACAGGTTCATTAGGTCTGTGCTGAAGAATGTGTTCTGTACATTAAGCAACAGGACAACAACAAGAACAACAGACCCTAAACAACACGTCCAGGGTTCATCTCAGGCCTCACAGTGTGCTGTGTTCCTAATGTCCCAGTGAGGTTCAGTTAATTGTAAGTTGTTTTTTTGAGAAGCTGTGTCGCTTCAACGTTCTTCTAAATAAAGCTAGTTTCAAATCTGCTGCACCATGAACACAGCCATGTGTTACCCATCGACTGTGCATAAGAGGAGACCGCAGTAAACATGATATAAGCATGACGTAAGAGGAAATAAAACAGTCTGGAAGTATGCTTATTTTATCATCTGGTCTCACATGATCAGTCATTTTTTGAGCAGAGCCCGATTAGCTGCTCTTGACTGGACGTCTGAACATCTAGCATGTTTGAAGTCTTGGTGGTATACACTGGCAGAGAGAGCAGAGCTAAGAGCCCATTCCCCAACTCCAGAACTTTATTTCCTGATTGCACCTTCAAAAACTGGCAGACACAATGGAGGAAAGTATTTGGCAACAGAAGGCATGCCTGTTTGATGTGTCTTCATCCTTTCTGTCACCAAAGATATGAACGGTTGTGCCGTCACCCTGGCTCTATGTAGTGGACCTAGCTGCCAACCAGTGTAGGCTGAGGTTGGTTGTGTATTTTACCTTGTTTTTGAATAGCTTGCATATTACATGACTAATTTCCAGCTCGCGACTTGCTGGCATTTGCAAAAATCTGAAATGTTCTAGTACTCCTTGTTTTTAGTTTTTCTTCAGGTGGATGGAGTTTCTCATCCATGCTAGTTTGTTCTGATTTGGAGGGTGTTCTGCATCACGTCGTTTGGCTTTTGCTGCCTTGCTTTGTTGTACATCAACATTACCTAATCCCATTTATACACATTCATACGCTGCTGACGAAGCAGCAGGAGCAACTTTTGGTTATGGACACATAAACATGTGGCTGCAGAAGCTGGGGATCGAACGCCCAACCTTTCAGTTGAGAGACGACTGACTCTACTGAGCTGCAGCCGTGCCTTAAACAACTTCTGCAGTTAAACTAAAGTGTTGGTGTCATTTAGAAGCTGGTCAGAGGATAATTTGAAAACCTTCACTGTGTGTGTGTGTGTGTGTGTGTGTGTGTGTGTGTGTGTGTGTGTGTGTGTGTGTGTGTGTGTGTGTGTTTTAGTGTGCAGTATGTGGGTGGCAGGTTGTGTGTTTTACAGTGTTCTGAGAGGAGGAAACTTCTCTGTTGGTAAGTGCTTCAATTTCAGCATTTTTAAAGCATCCTGAGTTTTCAGCGGGGGGGAAAGAAGGGCGTCATTTCTCCAATAAAACCAAACAAAAGCGGCTTGAATGGATTGTACAGTAACAGAGGCCTGGATTGTTCGCAGCTTGTAACACTTTTAACCCTGACCTGTGAAAAATAAGACACGTACCTTTTTTTGGGTCTGCTTTGAAAAGTTAGGAAGTTACAGAAAGAGAAGAAGTGTAAATCTGACTATAAGATATTGAACAGTTATGTTCACACCTCAGGACCCTTCAGATGTACTTTTCTGTTCGTGTTTTAGCACAATATGTAAAATAATAGAGCAGCTCTGACCACAGAGATAATTAGACTGAAACAGGACGTTATGAGGCCAAAGCATCGCTCTAATTACACCTCCGCCTCTGAGGAGAAAACAATGGGTCAGAATGGCGATTTTAAAAAGAAGCTACTTTTTTTCTCCCAGACCAGCCTTATTTTAAGATTTTTAAAGAAATATACCACTGTTTTTTTAGGACAAATCCTTGTCCAACTCAATCCATCCATTATCCATACCGCTGTTCCTGTTTGGGGTTGCGAGGGGCTGGAGCCAATCCCAGCTGTCATTGGGCGAGAGGCGGGGTTACACCCTGGACTGTGCGCCATTCTGATAAAAACTGGACAAAGCCATTGGTACCTATTCGTTTAACAATTTGTTTAGCAATTTTTGCAATCTGCATCTTGTTTTTCTAAAGCCAGAAGGGACCATATTTGAACATTTTTTTATTCTGCTACATATTTGGGCATTTTAACTTTGAGTTATATTGACGACTCATTCTGGGAGCCAGACTCAAGTAGACATCGGAAGAACTGCAGTGTTTGGCACTGCATAGGCTCCAATTCTCATGCCCTTTAGTTTTTACTTATGTTTAATTGTATTGTACCTTTGGCTGTGAAAAGTTCCATATAAACAAAGTTTACTTACTACAAAATAAATCTCTCTATGTGGGGTCCCTTCAGGACGCTGACTTCTGAAAGCAAAAATGCAGAATGTCAAACTTTTTAATCAACCTTTCAGGACTTGTGGTTGCTCAACCAAACAGTCCCTTCTTCTCCCACTTTGTTCAAACACTGATTATATTTTATCCATTGCAACTGTTTCCAAACTCTTCTGTGCATTTGCAATGTTCTATCGGGGCAATTTAGGTGCAGAAAAAGAACAAACAAATCAGACTTGATGGAGTGACCGTGGCACATTTTTGCAGATTTCCAAAGTTGACTCTTATATCACATCTGTTGTTGACTCCTGGAAGAATAAATGTCACACCAAATGAGTCAAAGGGTGCATCCAAAACCACCTTGAGGTTTAAAACGTTCAACTCCTCCTCTCTCCCCCTTCTCCTCCTTGCTCTCGCTCTCTGCAGTAACAGCAGTAGAAGCTGCTGAGCTGCAACACTTTAGAGAAACTCTTCAGATGAGCTGCTGTGTGCTGGAAGAAGAAAATAGTTCATTTAAAAATAAATAATATATAAATATAATTTATTGTGCATTATGAAGGAACTCTCTCCTGACACCTTGTTGCTGTCTTTTGCACATTTTTGCTTCCTCAGTAGTTTTCTATGCGGGGCTCGCGCTCAGGAGGCCACAGGTGATGATGATGCTCTCCGGCGGGGGTTGACATGGCAACATAACGGGCAGGTTTTCAGCATCCTGAGCCGCGGCGCTCAATACCGTCCGTCAGCTCGGAGGCGAGTTGGGTCACCCCGCCGCGGTAACCCTGTGGTCGTCCTCAGCAGCGCTAACGACACGGTCCCCGCAGCGTCCCGGGGCTCCCCGCGGGTCCCTGCCGCCAGCAGCGCTGCGGCATTACGCGCACTGACGCGTCAGCAGCAGCGGCCGGCGCCCGGAGGTGAAGGAGCCTCCGCACCGGTCAGAAGGGAGGACATGATGGTCGGAGACGATCCGTACAACCCGTATAAGGAATCCAACTATTACCCCTATTACAACTACTACAACTCTTACTACAGACCCAGACCAAGCGCTCACCACCGGCACGGATACGGAACCAGCTACCACCAGAACGGTAATCCACTGTGTCCTTTACGTGTATGTAATTTTCTATTAAGATGACACTTTTGTCCTGAGCAATGTACATCACAGAGTAAGTACAACATAAGAAAGTAAGAAGAGGAAACAAAGTCCGGACGCCTTCAATCCGATCAGACACACAGGTGCTGACAGGAAGTGACCAGAGGCAGAGCGCCGGTTTTTTTCTGTTTTCTGTTGTCATGAAAGTAAAGAGAAAATAACTTTCTGATGACCTTTCCGGAAGAACATCATCAGACAAAGACTCAGAAATTGATGAAATTGGATATTAGAAATGGACGTTTGTCGTATTTGTCCAACACTAATTGTAATCCACGTAGAAACAGATTTCAATTAAATAGAATTAATTGTTTTATTTTGAAAACAGTTTATAGTTTCATCATCCGTTAACTGTAAAGTAAGTTAAACTGTGATGGTCTGGATCCTACATGCACGTTTTTATGGTCTAATTATTCATAAAGCTGAGCCCCTTGGTGATCTTTGATGCTCATATAAACAAAGACAGATGTCTCTGGGTTACATGCCTGTCATTAAATCTAGTCTTAATTTAATAAGGATTTTGATTACAGTGTTTGGAGCTTTTATTACTTTACTGTTACAGTCAACCATGAGGAATACAGGACTTCATTCAAAGGGTTATTCCTCTGAAATAAGCATCGGGTATCTTGTGTTTATTTCTCTTCCCTCTGCAAAGATCTACAAGGGTCTCATCCCCACCGCCTATGAGGTCATAGTGATGTTAAAATCCTCTCAGAAAAGTGTGAGTTTTATTTATTTTTTTAATTTAATTTGAGTACATGAGTTCAAGGTTTAACCCATGGTATAAAATAAGTGCTGTAGACTTCCTCAGAAGGCAGCATCAAAGACTAATGAAATGCTTTGGGGCAAGCGGGGTGAGTATAGCAAAATATAGTCTTATGAAGTGTAGTGTCTGTATGAATCCTTTCTGTAATATCAGATTAACAATCAAAGTTAGTGACAATGAAATGCATGTTGTAGCACATCAGTCATAGAGGAGAGACATAATGTGAAGGGGATCCTTAGAAATAAGACAAGGGCCGAGCCTTATGGCTAAATTATGTAATGATCCTCGATGGTGGGTCCTCAGCCCACATGTCCAACTTTGGTCTTTACTTGGACTAGGTCAGCTAGGGCTCAGACTTTGCTAATACTTTCCATAACCTTGAACGTCTGCTTTAAACTGTCACCAGAATCTGTTGTGCTGTGGACTATACCCACATGAGGGATCTTTGACGTTTGTAGCAAGTTCAATGTGTGTTTTCATTAAATTGGAAAAGAGGCGTCAGCCCTGAAACCCCACCAGTTGATCGCTGTTGCAAAATTTGGCTCCAGTTGCGTAAAATGTTTGCGCCCGTCACGGGATATTTCGACTACATTTTTTCCATCCATTTTCTTCCGCTTATCCGATGTCGGGTCACAGTGCTAGTAAGTCAACCCAGACTTCCCTCTCGCCAGCAACGTTTTCCAGGTCTTGGGGGATTCCGAGGTGTTCCCAGGACCCGACAGGATATATGTTCCCTCCAACGAAATCTGGGTCTACCAGCTGTCTCCTCCCAGTTGGGCGTGCCTGGAAAACCTCCAAATGGAGGCATCCATGAAGCATCCTAATCAAATGCCTGAATTATTTTGTTCTTGTAAAAATGCATTCAGCTTGTGTATCAGATATATCTTCTACACCAGAATAGGATATGTTCTGGTGAGAGATAGAGATTGTATACACAAAAATCTCAGAGAGAATTATGGGTGATCCTTTTATCTTGACAAGATGCTAACTGGCTAGCGTAGCTTAAGTTTAATACAAAGTTGCCCTTAAACACACAGCCCAATGTGCAGCAGAACCAGAATGCAGTTTTGCACCTGTATGGCAGGAAGTACTTTCAGGACCACCAGGTGGCGGTGTTGTACTGTATCTCGTCAGAGGATCGCTTTAGTGCTTATTTAAATGTTTTGTTTTCTTGTGTTGTTTGCAGGTCTCCCCGATCTGGTTCCTGATCCATACTACATCCAGGTCGCCTCTTATGTCCAAAGGATGGCCATGTACAACCTCCGCTGTGCCGCTGAGGAGAACTGCCTCGCCTCGTAAGCCTCGAAAATGATTGCACGTCACAGATTTGTGCTGTCTTGCTTCTGAAAGGGTCTCACAGTAACTCTCATTACATGTTTTTGTTTTGGTATCCAAATATGGAGGTTTTTAGAATAAAAACAGTCCATTCAGATTCACCCAAATCTTCAATGCTAATTTAAATCACTGGGAAAAAATTGCTCCTTTTAAAAAAAAGTTCAAACATGTAATTATAGATTTCTTTTTTTTACTGGACGCGATTCAAACAGGCGAATATGATGGACGTGGACTTAGTGGCAAAGAAGAGAAAATATATTCAAAGTGAGGTGAAACGCCAAGTGGATAAAGCCTGTTCCAAAATAAGGATGAACCTTGTGTTGGCTTTCATCCGAGGACGTGGAGTAGGACTGCTATCTGTTGGACAGGCAGGTGCTAAATACTGGTTAGCTTGTGCTAGCAGTAAATGTACACACTACGTCCTGCAGTGAGTGTGAGCTTCTGGGGCGATGAACCCAGGAGGAGGGGCCCAGTTTGAATGTTGTGTTTACAAGCTGCAACGTAAAATGCTACTGACTCCACCTTTAATCATAGCTGGTGCAACCAAGTGCTGAAAAACAAACAACCATACATGTTTATATTATATTTTGGAATTTCTCTGCTATTACCTCCCCTTATTTCCTTTAAAGGAAGAATATTCGATTTTTTGATCCAGCAGATGTCGCCCTTGAGCATCAGCATGAAACCAAAACAACTCGCCCTGCATTGTTGTGTTAGCATGCTAATGCTAGTGATCTTTATTATGCTCGTATCTTCACACTGCATGTAAATTTACCTGAAATGACCGCGATCTAGAAACGCAGTTAAGCAGTGAGTACAGTATGTTATTCTTCTTTTCTCTAGTCCCTCAATTAAACAACTTTTATACGGAAGGGGATGAGCCGGCCGGCCGTCCCGACGATGTAAACAAAGTGAAGCTACGGCTCGGAAAACTCGGAAAACATCACAGACAGTGGGACTCAGGTGTCACACTCATTGTAGACAGTCATTACTCACAGAGTTATACTTGATTTCTGCTACATTTAAGTGTGAAAACTCGCATATTCTTCCTTTAAATGAGGTGTGAATGAAAAGCTCCACCTGTGTGGGAGCATATATGTGTCCCAACAGCACACCAGTGGTAACATAATCCACTTAGTTGGTTCTTATTTTGCTTTATTTGTTTTACATAAAGTTAACAGTAATCAAAATCCTGACATGTTGATTATCTCCTCTCCTTGTCCTACTCCAGTTCAGCTGCTTCCTCTCAGGATTATGACACCCGGGTTTTGTTGAGGTTCACGCAAAGGGTGAAGAACCAGGGAACAGCTGACTTCCTGCCCAGTAAACCTCGATACTCCTGGGAGTGGCACAGCTGTCATAAGTAGGTAGCTGCTAGCGTTAAGCATTATCAGTGTAACATTTCTTTCACGTGTTTGTGTGTTTGTTTAAAGAGTGTCTTCACAAAGGATTTGTGTCTGTTGTTCAGTCACTTCCACAGCATGGACGAGTTCAGCTTGTACGAGCTGCTGGACTCGAGCACTCACGCGCAGGTAGCCGAGGGCCACAAGGCCAGCTTCTGTCTTGAAGACACTTCCTGTGACCCGGGATACTACCGCCGCTTTGCCTGCACCTCACACACTCAGGTACGAACTATAGAGTACCTGAAATCACCCACTGGCCTCTTGAACAAGAAGCCCAGAGTCCAGTATTTGGGTGTTCTCCGGAGCCAAAAGTGACCACATTTGGACTTTTAGCCCAATCCCAATCTTCGCCCGTAAGCCTAAAGACTGAACCCTAAAGAACTCTGAAGACATCAGGTGCTTAGCGCTTGAGCGCCATAGTGCATCAGGGCTTGAGACGAGATAAAAGCAAACAGCATTTCCTTCTTCAACAGACACAGGCTCAATTTATGGGAGCAAGCCAGGTAGTGACAGCACAGATACTATCTACCTTACCACATAGCCCCGATATGCAATTCAAATGTGTAGAGCATGCACTGTGGTGATTTAATGCATATTGATATGTAGGACAAGGAATCCAAGGGTGTCTATCGATTCAATTTAGATTCTTGGGGTTATGTTTTGATTCAGAATCTATTTTTTAACAAAACGATTCTGGATTCATGGATTCAAAGTCTATTTTTGAATTAGTCCATACTTCAGGATCTACTCCAGTCATCTGTGAGACTGGCTGAATTTCTTGCTGCTCCATTTGACATTCTACTGGGTTAAAGAGCTAGCCTTAGCATGTAGCATTTAGTGACTGATTAGCCCAGAAAAAAATGTTTTTTAGAAGTTATGAATCGATTTAAAATCTCGATAAGAATCTCGATTTCTCCATAAAACCATTTTTTCCCCACCTCTATTGATATGTTTATCTACAGGGTTTGAGTCCCGGTTGTTATGACACTTACAGCGCTGACATCGACTGTCAGTGGATCGACATCACTGACGTCTCGCCTGGAAAATACATCCTCAAGGTCTGTGGAGATCATTTGTGTTTCCCATTCACTTCCAGGTATCTGTGGCATCTGTAAAGTATAAGTGGTAATCTGTATTTGATCAAATTCATCAGCCCATTGATTGAAGGAACGTGTTTCTCCATTTTCAAACTGACATCACTACTTTCCCACTGAGTGTGACGTCTCCGGGAAATGACAACTGTTATATATGAACATGACTCAGCAAAAAAACAAATAAAAATAAAAATATATACCAATAGGATAAGATAAATACATTTTAATTGCATTCCATTAATTTTAAAACATCAATGTGTTAATTGCAGACCTTGATTACACATAGCAATTAACGGGTTTACACTGACAGCTTCTTGGGCACTTCTTAGGCATGCAGATATTCAGTATAGCATCCTTCCCTCTTGTGTGATATTCATTGTGTTGTCCCGGCAGGTAACCGTGAACCCCAGGCAGCAGGTACCAGAGTCCAACTTTAACAACAACGTGGTTCGCTGTGACGTCCAGTACACCGGCACCGCCGCTCACATCTCCGGATGCACCACAACATCGTAAGAAATGCTTCCATCTACTTTGGGTCCTGTTTAACCATTTTACTGTTATAAAGTACATCTACAAAGTCTATAGTGTGCCATTACTTCAGCTACGATTACTTAAAGGTCCTGTGAGGAACTTTTGGTCTGTGTCAGTTTTGATGACCCCTGTAGACAAAGCTGTATCTTTCAACATTTTGTTTATACATGTGAGGGTCTTTTTCTCGTTATAACAAGAAACCAGGCAGAAGTTTCCCCCAAAATCAATGCAACACACTTCCGTATTCGATAGACAAGAGATAAGGGAAAAATATTTCAACTGGGGTTTTCCTTAAAAGTATCTGGGCTGCACATTGGTGCAGTGCTTAGCGCTGTTGCCTCACAGCGAGGAGGTTCCTGGTTTGAATCGTCTGACAGGAACCTCTCTGTGTGGAGTTTGCATGTTCTCCCCGTGCATGTGTGGGTTCTCTCCAGGTACTCCTCCAGTCTAAAGATGTGCTCGGATGGTTAACTGGTGACTCTAAATTGCCCGTAGGTGTGAATGTGAGTGTGGCTGGTTGTCTGTCACTATATGTCAGCCCTGTGATTGGCTGGTGAACAGTCCAGGGTGTAACCCCGCCTCTCGCCCCATGACAGCTGGGATCGGCTCCAGACATAGTTGACAATGTATTATATTTGATATTTACATATATATATGTGGATGAACATCTTTACACTGTGTAGTTCCTTCAATATGACAATGAAGAAGAAACAGACCTAAAAAAAAAATTCAAATGATTAATTTAATGATCCATACTTTTTACAAGTGTTGTTTACGTTGTTTTTTGTTCTTTGCAGCTACTGAGATCAACTCTGCATCATGTGCTTGAACACAAACGTTGGAGATGCTGCAGAAGAATGAAGATTACAGTTATTAGTGTCTTTGATAATTTGGTTAAAGAAAAGTTATGTGGGAGGCATTAAGGGACTTTGGTGAGTTTAGATGTTGAGTAATTGTTAAGTTACGTTAAAAGTTACAGACTAGGGTTGCACCAGCTTTTTGTAACTCCATCATTTATCTGGTATGTAGTAAAATTGTTCCCCTTTTTAAATTAAACATCGCATTGTATCATGAGCCGTTATCAAATACGCACTCCTGAAAGTATCTAGATCATTTCAGGAGGACTGCTCACAGGAAACTGTACCTGTCAGACGGGAGGGGGTGTCAGAGTTACATATTGCTCCTTTAATATCACTAAAACAAACGAATCATTAAAAAAATGTCCCCCGTACAGTGTGTGCCGATAAAGACATGAGCTGTTCAGACCAAAACTGTTTCTGTATCTGCATGTTATTTGCTGTCAAAAAGGACATTTTAATATGGTGTTAATGTGGACACTTGAGGAACTGCAGTTTTTTGCACTTGTGCACTGGCTTCTGTTTTGCAGAGGTTGCTGCTTTGTTGGAAGTTGCCAAAAGGTGGTGCAACCCAATGCTTGTACCTTATTTACCTTTAGTTTTTCTATTTTCCTCAATCAAATGACAGAGTTTCTGTTCTCTTATTGCTCGTCTGTCTGACAGCATGACTTACTGGTTACCGAGGTGACCGTTAATTTAATTTAACAACTTTGAGAAGACATAAAATGACAGTTTTAGGGACTTCACCAGTTTCTTAAACTTCTTGTAAAGATTAACTTCTATTATGTTTGTTTTTCAGTATTCTGGTGCTTTAGAATAGACTTAGATTTTTTGGTGCTAATTCTGATTTTGAAATGACCTTTTTTGTGTCCTAAGCTGAACTTGACTAAAACTTTGCACCAGAAGGACACAAAACAGATGCTGTTGGGAGTCCTGCTAGAAATTGAACTCGTCTTTGTTTCTGTTGTTGAATGCTGTAAAGATTGTGTAAACAGTGTGTACTTGTTTTGTAACCACTCATAACTGCAGAGCTGTATATAACTTAGCTCACATCATCATCAAACTGCCTTACTGCATTATGTCACATTTATAAAGTTTGCTTAAATGTGGGCAGTGTTTTTGTGTGTTGACCCATTGCATCACCAAGATTTTCAAACAGACCCTAGTATGTTCATATCACAATAATTTCACTCTGTGATCCTCTGTAGCAGCTTTGCTGTGAAAACCTCCTCTGTCACAGGAGATTTCAGGTACTGTCTCTTTAAGGCTTCACTCCTTACAAGCCCAGTTACGGGTGTCCTTACTGGCAGTTTCCACAGGATCCGTTGTTGCATCCATGTGCTGCTCGGGCGATGCAAGTTTCCGAGTTGGGAAGTCGTTTTTTTTCCGACGTCTGTGTGTTTGCGTGATTTCAGTTAGGAAAGTCTGAATGTTGTAACAACAGCAAAAAAACAGCGTTGATGCTACGAAGAAGATCAGTGAAATGTAGAGGTTAAAAGTTATATTTGAGAAAAAAGTTGATGTGCAATACGTGAATTAATAAAAAAGTATGTTAACATTGACAAAACTTTTTTTGCCTCTCGTGATGACGATTGTAGCGTCATGTCGGGCACCTAATTCTTCTCTGAGTTAGAGTTGTTGTTCAGACTTGAGCAGGTGTTCATGTGCAATTTACAAGCGGCAACCAGGTGTTGACAACTGAAGCCAATCACAAGTGAAAAATCCTGCAGTTCACCCAGGTTGCCGCTTGGTCACAGCACCGACGTGTGTCACAAAGAAAGCTTCCGCTCGAGGGCTGCAGCTGGATACTGCTTGGTTTGGTAAGTGTTCTGACCTGAAGCGTTGTAGTTCAATAAGCAGCCACTAGGACATCCATCCTTGATTACAAATCCCTTAACCTCCATTTGAATAGTCATCAAGGCACTGATATTAATCTGTGGAGTAAGTGTGTTGTGCATCCTGTGTCTGTGGAACAAACTTAGTTAAAGCGTGTTGTGACCTCACCTATGTCTGCCCGTCTTTCTAATGTGTCCTCCTCATAGCAGAAACTTCCTGTGCACAAACTATAGACTAAGTTAAGATGGTCTAAGGAGCAGTCGTTGTCGATAATCAGTAGGCAAGTAAAATTGCAATTTAAACAACGTGAGCGCTGGTCGTAAACATGACAATTCTGTCAGGTGTAAAATGGGAAGGGCTCCTGTCTTCAGTTAGCAAATATTTTTACATCACACCACCTTTGATGTCCGTGTATTGGCTGGCTAGAATAAATAGTGTTCAAGTCAAGTCAAGTCAACTTTATTTATATAGCACATTTATAACAGCCGAGGCAGACCAAAGTGTCTACAGTAAATCAGGCAAAATACATTACATCCAAAACATCATAAAAACATGTAAAAGCAAAAATTAAAGTGAATTAAAACACAAAACAATAGTAAAAGTTCTAATAGACACTGCTGCTGGGATAAAACACTCAACTAGAGGTAAAAGCCAAGGAAAATAAATGGGTTTTTAAAAATGACTTAAACTGCTCAGTTGTGGCAGCAGATCTTATTTTAAATGGTAATCTGTTCCAAAGTGTCGGAGCTGCAACAGAAAAGACTTGATAGCCCCTAGTTTTGAGCCTTGCTTTGGGCACGTCCAGGAGCAGCTGGTTGGAGGACCTTAGTGCTCTGGATGGAGCATGAACATGTAGTAGTTCCCTTCGGTAGTGAGGTGTTGAGCCATTTAATGATTTAAAAGCCAGAAGTAAAATTTTAAAATCAATCCTGTAGCGAACAGGAAGCCAGTGGAGAGAACTGGCGAGAGTGTTGTGTGCTGAATAAGTGGAGCAACAGGAAGTAGCTTCCATGAGACAACCCTTTAATGACACTCCCTGCACAACTCACTCAGAACCAAACCACCACCAACACAAACACATTGTCAAAACTGCCTGTTTGAGGCAAACTACAAAAATAACTGGAGCCATTCTAACCAATGTTTTGAATTTGGATGGCAGTACCTATTTTAAATGCTGTGGTGTCAGAGTTATTGCTTCTTTAAACATGCTGTGTTTCCCCTAGGTTTACAGGAATCGTGGTGTTCATGGCTTACTTTTAATGAAGCTGTCCTTTTCTATCGGAAAAGTATCCTTAAATGACTTCTTTCCCTGATTTCCCACTCTATCCACTATCCTATCCCTACAATAAAGACACAAAAAGCCCAAAAATATATATATTTTTTACTCAACCTTCAAGGGGGGGGGGGGGGGGGGGTAATATAATGGTAGGGGAAACACTGACATGCATGAGTGAATGAACTTATCAGATTCAAAAATGAATTCAACATTAGAGTCTTCGGAGTCCTCTTTCCCGTCTGGGTTGTCAAGCTTCATGAAATTCTTCAGGACGTTGTGGATTTCAGCCTCCAATGTGGTTATCTTTGGAAGACAAACAGAGGAGAGATGAAATTATCACAGACAGGAACATTTAATAAAGTGATATTTTCTTGTACAATCTGAGGTCTATAAAGAAAACGCACCGGCCCGACCAGCTGGAGGTAGATATTGGATGCCATCTGTATGAGTTCGACAAAGGACCATTAAATAGTCACTGCATTTGTGTTGTAGTCAAGACCACACTAACTGAGACCAAGACATAGTACCCCAGATCAGAGCGCTCCGAGACTAAGAGAAGTCACTAAAAGAGATTAACAGTCCTCTCAAGTATCTCTGTTAATATGAGGCTACAGGCAGCACCTGCTTACGACGAGATACAGCTAGTCAGGCACATAACTCCCCGAATAAAACAAGTGATTCAAATTCCAAACATATTAAACTGGAAGAGGGGACTTCACCTTTATGAGGTGGACCGTCAGGATTTTGTTCTTGTTCATATATATATTTTTTTGCATCCCTCGTATATTTTTGTTGGGTTAATTCAATAGACTCTAATTATGACTCGATGAAGCCTGAGTGACGTCCCCCGTCTGTTCCTGCAGGGGGTGCTGGAGGCTAATCGGCAGCAGCCGCCATGCTGGAAATCTGTCTCAACCTAACTTTCAGTCAACCTAACGACAGGCTGAGAGCTGGAGCTGAGGCGGGTTTTAAGCCACCTGACAAAATGTTACACCACGCCCAGCTGTCAATCATGTCAGCTACGCGCCTTATTGCGAATAACTCTTATCCTTCATCAAATCAAAACGGATGAGTCATCAAAACATTCACCCCCCGTACAGTGTGTGCCGATCGAGACATGAGCTAATCAGACCTATTTGTTTTTTTGAACCAGGCTGTAAACATGTTAATCTCTGCTGTAAAAACAGACTTTTTAGAATGGGTGTGTATGTTCCTTCAGGGCCTCTGCAGCCAGCCTCTAGTGGACACTTGATGAACTGCAGGATTTCGCACTTCAGCCTCGGCTTCATTCTTCAACATCGGAGGGTGCCACTTGATTATTTAAAAGTTTAATCTTTCACTTCCTGCCCTAGTGTGTTTTTCCCGCCTTTATGATTGTGTGCCTCTCACCCTGATTGTCTTCACCTTTGTCATTAGTCTCACCTGTGTCTGATTACCAAAGTGTGTACTAACCCTGCATTTATGTGGTGTCGGACAAATTGGAAAAAAAAATTTCCGAGTTGAAAAATGCAAATGAACGCCTGCTCAAGTCAACAACAACCCAAAAACTTGACGTCATAGTCATCATCACATGGCAGGTAAATTCTGCTTTTTTATTGTAAGGATACCTTTTATTCACTTATTGCACATCAATGTTATGCTCAAATAAACTTGGAACGGAGCTCAGATGGCCTAGTGGTTAGGTGGCGCCCCATTTAGGAGGCTATAGCTCTCCAAGCGGGCGGATCGCAGGTTCAAGTCCGGCCTGTGGCTCCTTTCCCGCATGTCATTCCCCACTAGATCTCTCCTGTTTCCTACTCTATCCACCGTCCTATCAAATAAAGTAAAAAGCCCCAAAATAAATCTAAAAAACAAACAATCTTGTAACAGAGACGTTTCACACATCTTCTTTGTAGCCACGATGTTTGTTGTTACAACATTCAGACTTTCAGAACTGAAAACACATGAAGAACCACTTCTAAAATCGGAAACTCTTACCCTCCGAGGAGCACCTGAATGCAGCATTACTCTCTGTGGTCCTTCCTTTCTGTCAGCTCATTACGTCTACCTGCTGGTGTTCATTTATGAATTTATTCCTTGTTGCCACTCCTTGTTTGGTTTATTCTGCAGGTGTAAGATGTATGTTTTGTTAAACGCAATTCTCTTTGGCTCTACAGCCAGATCTTTACCTTCTTCATTTTTTACTCATGTGACAGTGGACAGTAGAACAACAGGTATTGATCCATATCTGGTCTTTTCTTTGTCATATTGTTACTTAGCTCATTTTGCAAACAGAAATCTATATGAAATTAAAATAAAATACATTTTGTCTCACCTATGATGTCAGCTGAAGTAAACCTCTGCCTCCTCCTAAAGGGAAAGCTGGATGGACAGTTAAACAAGGTGGTTTGTTGCTGCACAACTAATATTTGATGCAATATTTCAACTTTGGAATGAAAACACAGCTGAAATGAACAATAGCGACACTGAAGAAAACGCAGAGCCTACCGGCTCAAAGGAGGAGAAAACATCACAACGTCGACAATAAAGGAAGTTCAACTTCAGGAGTTTGGAGACATTTTGGATGTTTACAGTCCGACATAAAACAGAGTAAAGTGCTCTGTTAACTGTGCCAAAGACAAGTGTGGCTAAAACAGGCAACTTTTCCACCATTTGAAACAATATATCCCGTTCGAATAAATAAATCACCAAACGGTAAATAAACCAATGTTTTAATGTTGTATCGGTGTCTGACTTCCCATCCCGCTTGTTCTTTTCTTTGCTAAATTGATGCGTCGTGCTACTGCAAAAATAGAAGCCTTGTGTCTCAGCGCAGCGGAGCCAGTGGAAACACACACATTGAATAAAATGAAAACCGATCAGCTCCGCTGCCGTAACAGAGCAGAGACGGACCGAACACGCATCTGGTGGAAGTTTCTTGCCCGCTGCAAACTGTTATATATTAGAGTTTTCCAGAAATGTTCCTCTGTTCAAGTAGAGTTTGTCATGTTCTGACAGAAAAGAAGGTTAACCATAATTAACCATCTGTTTTTTTCAGGAGCCAAAATCAGCCTTCACATTAAAAAAAATAATTATTTAACATTTATCGTGATAATTATCGACTGATATGAAATTGTTTATTGTGATACGGTTTTGGTCATATTGCCCAGGTGTACTTTAATTTGTTAAATGATTGAGGATAACTAAGTTAACATGCCTGCAAGTAACGATTCATTTCAATGTTAATATTGTTGTTTGGTAAAAGAAAAATAGAGGAGAAGAAAAAACACCAGCACATATTCACACTTAAGAAGCTGGAGTGCACAAACAAGCCATTTATTGTAACTACACTAACGTTAAAATGAAGTTGGAGTCAGAAGCATCATGGCACACACAAACACAGCCACGTTCAGCAGGCTCATGGCGGAGATGTAGAGATGAAGATGGTAACCTTTGATAGACGGAGAAAAACATGTTGCCACTGCTGTTTCCTTCCTTAGGTCTCCTCTGCTGCTGCTCTTCGTCACTTGCTGCCTTGCCCGTACCTCACCCCCTGTAATCCAATACCTCTCAGGTATGCATACTCAGGCATCACATATTCTACCTGTTGTTAGTACCTCTTGACACCGTCAAGTTACCTAAAGTCATGTTTTGGTTTTATTGTCATTTCTTGTTATATTGTGTACTTACCCTTGTCTCTGTCTTTCAGATCCTCGTGTTCTCATGCCTTGTGCCTGCCAAGGGTTAAACCAGGGCTGTGCTGCCCTCTGGTGGAACTCTAGGAACCTGGTTTTAATTTTCTTAATGTCTGAATTTTGAATTAAGATGAAAAGTCATGGTGGGGGCACCTCTGGTGTTGAAAAATGAAGCCGATGCAGAAGAACAAAATCCTAAAATCCGTTAATGTGTTGAGTGTCCACTAGAGGCTGGCTGCAGAAGCACAGGAAGTCACATACACACTCATTCAAAAAAGCCTATGTTTCTGTGTGTGTGTGTGTGTGTGTGTGTGTGTGTGTGTGTGAGTGAGTGAGTGAGTGAGAGATAGGGTGGGGGGACTGAAGGGAAGCAACTCAATCAGATTAAAGTAAACTGTAAATTAACTCTTAATGAGTTACAGAGCAGGGTCAAATTAAACTGTAGAAGCTAGATATAACCATCTGGAAACAGGGTTATGTAGTAAATGTACCTGAAATGAAATCCTGGAGCGTTATTTGTTATATACAACTGTACCTTGGCCCAAGCAAACCTCTTTCATCTGTGCCAGGGCCAAGAAAGTGTATCCTTATGCTCAGTCCCATTTCATGATACTTTGAACATGATTAAAAATGAGGCAAAAAGATCATCAGCCTTTTAAATGCTTAAGGTTTTAATGTGCAGAACACAAGAAAGAAAGAACAGGTAATCCTGCAGAAGAGACTGATGGCACAAAGGCACAAAGCCACGTCAGCCTTCTCTTGCTTCTCTTTAAGCTCAGGGATTACATGAGAGTTATACTGCAGATGGAAGGCAGTTCATCTTTACACTGTACTGCATCGATGCATTCCCATGATCCTGTAAAATATACACACACACACACTAGAGTTAGTTAACACAACAGACACCTGTCCACCTGTCTTACGATCATCAGTATCAGGGCTTGAGCGGACATTTAGTCAGAGTAAATGTGTCTTCATACATTGTACAGAATTCAGCTCAAATATGAGTCACTTTATTTTGATTCTTTTAAACATAATTCATGAACAGTTAATAATATATTATACAAAACCATATAAGCAAGAAGAGCTGAAAGGTCCAATTATCTTGATTAACGCTTGAAGATGAGCTTGAGGAGCTCCCCCTAAAATATGGGGGTTATCAAGACTGTTTATCGACCCCACCTTCAGAAGTACGGAAATATGGTAGTAATGTCTATATAGAAAAGGTCTCCTCCTAAATGGTAAATTGACTTGACCTTGTATGGTTCTTTTTTAGTCTTCTGACTACTCAAAGCGCTTTTATACTGCAGGTCACACCTACACATTGACACACTGATGTCTACAAGCCCCCCAAGGATGAGAAAAGTCCATCCTCTCCGTCTTTTGCCTGCTCCACTTTTCAGAAAATGTGTGCTCAAACAGGTTGTTTGGATATTTTCCCTTCATGACATCACAAAGGGCAGTAGCCCCTCCCCCAGGTGGGTGACACTCCCACAGCTAGGTGTTTGTTCTGCCCTCTGAGTCTGCCTTCTCACCATAAACAATAGGACATGGAGCGAGAAAGCCCGAGACACCCAAGCCCTTCCAGAGAGGGGGCATGGTCAGACACAGATCATTTACATATTTAAAGGTACAGACACAGAAACAGCCTGTTCTGAGCAAGGCATGATCAATAGACATGGTCAAATACAGGATCAGAGTGGATTTAGAACAAGACACTTCACACACATGTTTTGAGGAGCTCTGAGACTTATTTACACTGGTTGAAAAGGTGGGGAATATGTGACCTTTAATAAACGCCTACATTAGTATAAATCTCTGTGGAAGGAATTAATTTAATATTGTATCACAAATCTTAACGTTGTTCAGGTGGAGGGATTTACCTTCATGGGTTCTCTTTATACAGCTGGGGTTCCTGGGTGCTCCGTACCAGTCAAATGTAGACCAGTCCCAAGAGGAGCTCTGTGAGGCGAATTATAAAATTATTTTATAAATGATAATGAAAGAAAAATTAAAATATTTTGAGGCCTCAAGTGAATAACATACATCTGTATTACAGCCTCCGACCAAGAGTTGAGGAATCTCAGGACCAATATGCTTCATGATGTCATCGATATTTTCTGAGAATTGATTCTTTAGTGCAGCTACAAGGCCTCCATTCATGGACCGACAGTGACTCTACAGTGCAAAAACAAACCTGATTATGAGGACACAGGATGAGAGGCGATAAAATAAATGGTAGGCAAGCAAATGCAGAATAGTTTTTGGTCTGAGGTCTAACTAACTAATAAGATATTTGTTTCTGGAATGGATTCAGTAGTTTGCTTCAGCCAGCATCAGTGAAACAGGCTGTAATGACTGCAACATCATCCATTAAAGAAAACGTGATTGGTAAAATGAGATTGACTAAAAGTTTTTGTATTTGCAGATCAACTAATCTTGGCCGACTTTCCATCCCCTGCTCTAATTTGTGCCTTCGCCGTTTTAGCCCCCACTCTTTGGAATCCACTCCACCACACCTTCAAATCAGGAGAATCTTTTAATCTGAATCTGAAAAACTCACTGGATTGTTTATACAAAGGTCGATCGGTATTAACAGGTTTAGAAGGCTGTTTTTTCAATGAAAACAGTTGAAATTGATGGAATTGATGCACATTTTTTCTGAGAACGTACCACTTATTGTGTGGGTCTTGGTAGGTCTACTTGTAACAACCGTTCTGTTGTTATAAGTAGAGGGGACTCCAAGGAAAAAAGGTCTGGAAACACTGTCCCTAAATAACACAAAAAACTAACCCATTCATAACAATAATAATAATAAATGTTATTTAAAAGCACCTTTCTGGACACACAAGGACACTGTACAACAATTAACATTTAAAAAACAACGATGGATAAAATCAGCATACAAAAAAGAAATGAAATGTAGGACAGTGTAATTACAGTTAAAATGTTAGAGTGAGATCTTGAAAAGATTTTTGAGTCTGGATTTGAAAATGTAGAGAGAGTCAATGTTGCGTATGTCAGGTGGCAGAGAGTTCCAGAGCTGAGGAGCAGGGCAGCTGAAAGTTCTGCACCCCATGGTGCTGAGGCAACATAGGAGCAGAAAATCCTTAGCTTACCCTCTCTGTCAATGGTGGGTCTGAAGAAAGCCTGCATTGGCTATTAAAGGTAAAAGAAAGTTATCTGACTCATTAACAAAAAGGTCACTTGTGCCAGGCTCAGACTACAGGGGAAAAGGTCTGATTTATTACTGTATCATCTTCCCAACTAAAGGAGAGGAATCTGTGTCGGGCCTGAGGTCAGTCCTGTCATTCAGCAGAGATTATCTGGTCACGTAAGGAGTCTACAAATCCATTTTTAAACGGCAAAAACTGCTTATAACTCATAATAGCCATCCCCAAATATCATTCATATTGATCATGAGTTGTAGAATCTGGATGATAAAGTCGGTACCTACAACAGCCAATGAGAGACTTCTGACTGCGGCTGCAAACAACAGCAATACATCCTAGCTCTGTGGCTGACTTTAGCTAGCATGCGACTGACGGACAACAGTCAGCACCGTTAGTGCAAGCTTCTTGTAAAATGTATTGAATAAAGCTACTGGTTACTACTTACATGAAAAGTGAAGACTTAGTCAGGCACATTTGTCTCTGAGGATTATGTTAAGCTTTTTCAGTTTGTCTCGTGGCTACAAGACCCAGAAATATATGTCAACAATAAAAAAAATTGACACCAGAGTTACTGCAAAAAAATAAAAAATTGACCCTGAACAAGGAATCCCCCTGATTACCTCAGCATCAGACCAAGTCCTAGTTTCTGGAACGTAGAGCAGACAACGAATATCGTACTTTATCCAGCCTGGAGGACATACTTAAGAGGACAGACACAGAAGAGAGGGTTCAATCACATAAATAACATGCGTAAGTGCGTTATTTTTCTATGCGTTTGCAAGGAAACATTTTTCCCAAAAAAATCAAATTGACTATATGGAAGAAACACCAACCATGATAACCTGTGACTTTCTGGATCTGTTTAAACTGGACAATTGAAAGTTTATCTGTCAGTTTTTCATCCATATGTTTTTTTTTGTCATTTGTTATTTAATTCACTTTGAAAACAAAAATTATTATAAATCATCAAAACCAGTCAAACCCATGTGGATGCTAATTTTATTTGGATGGATCAGTAACACTCGTAGGCAGCTCTTTATCCAATGGGCACGGCTAAGCTAGCTCTCATTTTGCTTTGCTTACAGTCTACCGTCCTCAAAGATGAACATATGGCGATTTATATGTTTTCCATTCTCTGGTGTTACTCTAAAGATGTGATTATAGTGGAGAACGAAACTGTAGCTTATTTGCTTATAGCTTATAAACTTCATGCCACGCCTGCATAAGTCAGTGCCCAAGTTGGGCCCCCTCCAGTCAAAAGTCAAAGCCAGTGCAGAACATAAGTGTCCAAAAGCAAGCCACTCTTACATAAAGGTTCTTGTATGGATTAAAACAAACAAGACATACAATTTGAGCATATGAGGTGCCTGGGAGCAGATCTTGGATAGTGCCAAGCTAGCTTTGTAAGCTAACAGGCTACGGGCTGTACTTCATTTATTGTTGCAACATAAAGTAAAATGAAAAATAAGAAACAGCAGTTTAGTAAATTATATCCACCACAACCAATATTTACTTACTGAAGGCTTGGGTGAGAACCATCATGGCACAGAACACCAGAGAAGCAGTCAGCAGGTTCATGGTGAAGATGTCCCGGTGTAAAGATAATAATGGTAACTTTGATAAACAGAGACGAAAATGTCACTAAATCTTTAGCAGCAGGAAGACAACCTATCTGTAAGAGAGAGAGGATGATAATAAAGCTGAATCAAACCTGCAGCAGAATGATCTCCTCTGCCCTTCTGTGTGGAGCTGCTGAACCAAACACAGACCAGCCCTTAAACATTCCAGTAACCAAACATGACGAGGCCACGTACACCAACAACACACCTAGGGCAAATACCAATTTCATTCTAAGTTCCAGGGAAGCCTGAGGTCAATTTCAAGATAAGACATGTTATGGTTTGATCTTTTTCTAATTTGGTTTTTCAGTGTTTAGTGTTTCTTCTTGTTGTAATGTGTTTTGTTCTTGAGTTCTGTGGGTTTTTAGTGTTTCATGATTTAGTTTGTAGTTGTCCTCTGTGTTTCTTGTATTCCTGTCTGTGTGTGCTTCCCAGTGTGATTGCCCTGATTGTCTTCACCTGTGTCTTGTTAGTCTCACCTGTGTTTGATGACCCCGGTTTCTATTTAGTCTCTGTGTTTCTTCCCTCCTGTGTCAGTTCATTGTATGTTGTAGGTGTATGTGGTATGTCAGTCAGTCGTCAGTTTGTTAGTGTCTCTTGTGCTTCCTCGCAGCTCTTGTTTTGGCATTTTGATCTTTATTTTAGATAAATACTTTCTTTTGGTTCTGCACTTGGGTCCACCTTCTGTGTTTTACTCACCTAACTGTAACAAGACAAGTGATGTGTTGTATAAATACTTTGAAATAAAAAGTATCAAACATTTTTTTAGCCAAAAGGAGCCTGGGTAGTTATCTTGTGACAGACAATATACACACAGGTGGCTTCAATTTGTCCAGCGTTACGGAGATAAATCCTGGTTCTCTAGAAATTACACCAGACACCACACCAACTTTGACTTCCCTGAGGGCTGATTAGATAAACAAATGTTGCTTGCTGAGTCAAGTGGGGCATTTTAGTGGCAAAAGGTAGAAAAACAAAAACTCAGTAGAAATTAAAAATCATAAATAGGGGCTGGTAGCCTAGTGGTTAGTGCACACACCCAATGTATAGAGGCTGATTGATTCCCTTCTTCTCTTGAAAAGTACCGTCGATAAATGCATGAACTACTCTGAAAAAGGAACTTAGACAGGATTTTTTTTTTGCAGAAATGGAGCCAGCATGAGTTCAAGAATGATATATTCTCTCTCACATTCATCCATTATTCTTCTCTCAACTTAGCCCCCTCTCTACCACTCCCTCCATCTCCCTGCTCTGGTGAACAGCTGATTATGGGCGTTTACTCTTTAAGTAATCAACAACCAGATTCTGCACAGCCTCTCGACCAATCATCCTGGTGGGTCAAATTAAAAAATCGGTTCGCTCTTTTCCCCAATCAGTTTGTCACTCAGTGCGATGGCTGCACCTGGTAACCTAATCTGCGATTCTTCTATCACCACCACCCACCACAGGGTCTAGACTCCATTAGGGGGTCTCATCCTTTAACTTTATTTATAGTGCCTTGTGGTACTAATGGCTGTGGCTACTGTGCCATATAAATATTGTCTACTAGTACTTTGATGTCTTTTAATAAAAACTCCTCCTACAATTCAAAGGGAAATTATGAATGGCTAACAGTCAAAGTCATGGAAGAGGTTTTCTTTTTTCATTTTAAGGAAATCAGTAAGCTACGTCTCTGAACTCATTTATCAGATAAACCACATTTTTCTGTAGGAAAAGGCCCTTGGTGACAGATTTTTGTCCTATATAAATTGTAATACAGATGAAAACGAAAAAGCTCCAGATCTTTAAAGGATCAGTCAATAAAGTGTAGTGAGTGAGTGATAAAGTGATCTTACTATATGATCAGACATTAAGGAAACATGCTATGTTGAAGTGCTGGCTTCTCTGACAACAATGCAGCACCAGTATGTCCTCCTTCTAACTTTAGATTCTGGTCCTGAATGCTCTGGATTTGTTTGGACGAGAAGGTAGGCAGTTTTAAGGTGTCCTCCACGGCCGTTTTAGGCGCCCCTCGGTTTGCCAGATATGAGAGCAGTTATCAGGTCAACAGGTGTTGCAGCGATGGAAGCGGGCAAGAGAACTGATTCAGATAGAAGTGATTGTACCCGACCTAAAAAGCCTCTGCATGTTTCTAATAAGCTCCACGAGCAGAAACGTGCTCAAACTAGGATCAATATTGGAGATGCTTTTGAAAAATGGAGAGAGGTTAGAACACAGAAAGGTTTACAGACCGATGCAGAGCTGGATAAACACTGAAGCTTCAGTGTCCACCACATGGTGACCTGCGTGAGCATCAACTCTAGAGAGGAGGGGGCGGGGGGAGACAGCTCTCTACAATGTTTGAATGACATACAATACAATGAAAGCAAACATACAATGACATTGGACTGCAGTATCCATTTTAAACACTTGGTGTGAGAGTTACATATTGCTCCTTTAATACCTCTAAAGGGTCAAATATAAATTGTTTTAACCCAGATTAAAATGTTACTGTTTCGTGTTGCACTTTAGTGTTTAATGTAGTTTAAATTTGCTCTTCCTGCTTTGCACAAATGTTCTTTATGTCTATGAATCATTTCAGTTTTTTTTCTATTTCTCTTTTTAAAATGATCTTTGACTGTGGTATTTATCTATACTTTGATACTTCTTATACTCAATCTTCTATTTGCTGTCCGGATGTTTCTTTTATTCCGCACATTAATAAAGGGGCCTTGCCTTAAGTTAACAACCAGAATAATGAGTGCAGTTTAATCATTACAGATACCTTGAAAAATAAACATCAGGTCAGAGGTCCCAGCTGGTTGAATGTTTGTTCTCACACTTGTGAACTCATTGGTCGATCTCACGTTCTCTCTGGTTATACTTTAAAGCTAACACTGACTGTTGGTTTTGTGCTGTCCTGCCCTGAGCGATGTGTTGAGCTGAGTCAGGGCGTTGTCGGGCGGATGTTGATCTTTGAAGTTAAAGTGCTGTCACATTGACAAAGCAGAGGCGTGTTCTTATCTATTACTGAGCAAATAAGACAAACACACATCATCAGATTCATTTTTTGAGTCACCACTTTTTAATATATTAATGAAAAATGCGCAGCTCGGTCTATTTCTCATATGTAACCTGCAAAAACTCATACGATACGACTTATAATACTCCACATTCACCTGACAAGTCCCGATAAACTTGTTTTATTTTTCAAGATTAAAAAAGTTTATTCTTATAAGCAAAACATATTTGATGATGGACGGCCTTGCTCACAACCAAAAAACACATAAGGGAGAACATCTGCAGCCTTGAATCTTTTGTTTTACATAGATTCAAATATGAACATCTGAAACTTTGAACTGCCTGGTAAGTAAACACTGAGGTGTTTTATGCTGAAGTATTTATTTAAGATTGATCATTAAGAAGAATTCAGACAAACACAATAATCGTATATCATATAACAGCATAGGTTTACAACACGTCCTTATAGTGATGTATGAATTCTATCGAGAAGTAAACTCCCTTTATGGAAGAAATAAATCATTCTGTTCCTTTGTGCTGTTGGTGGGCACAGCCTGAGTGACGGTGCGATCAGAAACTGTATAAAAGAGCTGAACTTTTCTTTTCTCTGCACTTTGATGCTTCACGCTGACACCGAGGAGGAGCCGAAGATCACCATCTTTCTGCAGGTGAGTTAAAGTCTCACATTAGCTCCTGTCTTTGTAACTTAGATTATCTATCACAGCAGGTTTGTGACAGAGAGTTTGGAATTAAAAATGGGACGTTATGAAGAATACATTTGTAAAAACAATTTTAAAAATGAATTTGACTGTATTTGTATCTTTTGGGGGTCATTTCTTTTTTTAAATGATGTCATTATTTATATTATCATTTCTGTCCCTTCTTTTTCCCTTGTTCTTCTGTGTGACTTTGAAGGGTCAGGCTTAAATCAACAAGCTTTTATTGGCTTATTTTATTTTAATTTTTTTACATCTGTATTTTTTTCGGCACTGATGACTCCATATAGGTGCTATTTTTTCTTATAGGCATAGAAAAAAAACTGTTTGCCTGATGACGGTCTTGCTATGTTGCCAATAAATGTTTTTTTGTTTGTTTGTTATACAGTGTGCAGGTGTTTACCTTTAAGTTTCCTATAGATATATGAAAGTTCATTTGATCATTTTAATTGTATTTCTTTTAAGTTGACGATCTCTGAAATCTGATTCATCTTCACCATGACGCTGTTGGCTGTTTCTGCACTTCTCTGTGCAATGACGATTACGACCCTTGGAGCTGCCTGTGAGTAGATTGTTTGAATATTTTGTGTGGCTTTTGTTTTCCATTTATATATAGACATATTGTTCTTCCCCACCACATACATGGTACTCAAACTTAAAGAAACATTTCACTAATGACCATTTCATAAAAAGAAAGATTCCACTTGACCTCCTGTAAATGGAACATAAATCCTTCTGAAGAGTTTTGATGATTTCAAAGAAGAGGAGTGTTGAGTAGAGCCAATCATTTTATTTCTTTGCTCATGGAAAACAAACCTCTTCAATCCTCTTTATTATTTTATGAAGACATTTGTCATGCTGTATTTAAACATACACATGCTGTAAATGTTGCCACATGTTACAATGAAAGAGGGAAATGAAAAGGAATCTGAATGTGCTTTGTGCAGCTGTTTTTTATGGCAATGTTTGGTCCCACTTTGAGGGGGTTCGATAGTCACTAGTTCAGCACTGTTCCTTTTGATTGAGTCTGAATGATTTAAGAAGAATTAAATGATTAATATAACAACCCTACAATAATGAGGATGTAAAACTAGGATGACCATACTGTATGTCCCAATTTGACCGGGACTGTCCTGTCCCGAGTCCCCACAAATATATATAAAACACTAATATGTCCTGGTTTTAACCTATTGAAATACCAAAACAATACACCATTCTTGCACAAATGATCAATCAATCAATGTCGTTGGCAAGGCTGCTGATCATCAACACTGATTTTTCGGCGCATGTTTCAATCAATCTCGAGGTTGCAGCTGTTGCTTAGTTAGCCTAGCTTATCATGCCTACAGGACCTGCTGCCTAACAACATGTAGGTGAGCTGTCATACTGAACAGGAAGTCAGTGTTTTCCATATACCTCCAGAAGAGTTACAGCTTCATTCATAAAGTACCAGCCAATAAACATGCTGCTTTTTGCAGACACTGAAGGGGCTGTTTTCAGCCGCCCACAGTGGAGATTCCAACATACAAAGTCATATTAAAAAGAGCAAACACAAACTGTGGATACAGACTGGAAGTAGCACTGTTAAAATTTACTTCAGTGAGGGAAACGACGCTGACAACCAGAGGTGTCAAATGTATTGACATTCATTACTCAGGTAGAAGTATAGATACTAGGGTTTAAAAAGACTTCTATAGAAGTTGAAGTATCAACTCAAACTTTTTACTCAAGTAAAAGTGTAAAAGTACTGGTTTCAAAACTACTTAAAATATAAAAGTAAAAGTAATGTAAGGGGGAAAAAATGGCATGAAGGACAAAAGCTTAGGCCGCACCACAGCGTGTCGGATTGGTATATGTTTATACTTCTCATCCAACCACAATCAAATTCACTCTATCTGGATGGCGTGATTTATCTGGATAAGTTTTTGTTTTTTTTGTCTTTTTTTGAACGATGACAAGCCGGAATGAAAACAAGCCGAAATAAAAAAGGAGTAACGAGGCTATTTTTAAAATGTAAGGAGTAGAAAGTACAGATAATTGCTTAAAAATGTAAGAAGTAGAAGTAAAAAGTCGGCTGAAAAATAATTACTCCAGTAAAGTATAAATACCCAAAATTTCTACTTAAGTGAGGTAATGAAGTATTTGCACTTTGTTACTTGACACCTCTGCTGACAACCAAACATAATGCTCAGGAGGAAACCTTTACCTACCACCTTGAGTGACCAGTGCATGTCATTGATCTGTGGATCGATGCATGTGAGTTTGCGGTAAAATTAAAGTGTCCTTATTTGGAGGTTTGAAAATATGGTCACCCTAACTCTGCCAAGAAATACAACATACTGTCATTATTAGTGGAGGATGTGCAAAACTTTACTGGAGACTCAACACAATGCTCTTCTCTGTCTTCAGTGGAACCTCACGTGTTTAGTAAGTTCTCATCCTGTCCCTGTGCATGGACACAGTTCCAGGACCGATGTTTCATCTATGTCCCGAAGGCCATGACGTGGGCCGAGGCTCAGGTAATGATTCGGTGCAGAAAGCTTCCTCTGCACACAGCCACCTGGATAATAAGCATCTCTTTTATGCCCTTTTCTTTTTAATGTTTGTTCATCTCCTCTGCAGCAACACTGTCAGTCCATGAGGGCCAACCTCGCTTCTGTGCGCAGCTTTGCAGAATACACGGCCATTCAGAGCTTAACTGCAATTGATCGATACAGGAACACGTGGATTGGAGCATCTGATGCTCAACAGGTAGATTTTTTTACATGTAAACTTGTTAAGTTGTAAGCAAGTTCAACTGGAAGAAGGTCCAATAGTAACGAGCTGAAAGGGAGCATATCCTTATCACCACCTACTGTAGCTGAGTCAGACATTTTTTGGTCAATAAATAACTGGCACCGTGCTGGCCTGGATCACTTGCAATCACCTGACCTGATATTCTTATTGAACCAAATATATATATGTTCATTGGGTCTGTGCACTAACAAGAAATACTTACTAAATAAAAGGGCACTAATAGGGCAGGTGCTCAAGTCACTTGTTATCTATTTGTGCATGTGACTTAATAGAGGTGTGATAAGTCAAGTAACAAATTAAGATAAGCAGAACATTAATGGGATTACTGAATGTTCAGACACAGACCCAGCCTCAGTTCATATAACTCCACATAAAAAGCCCAATATGCGAGTATGTAGTACTTACGACGGTCTGCTTTGACGCGCAAGTATAAACAAGGCTTAACTCTGAGGGGTTAGGATGGCAAAGTTTCCCTTTAATTAAAAGTTCTTCTTCAAATACTTTTTGATATTCTTGTCTCTTCTCGTTTTTTCAAGGATCGTTTTTGGTTCTGGAGCGACGGAACACCTTTCACCTACACAAACTGGTGTCCTTATCAGCCTGATCACAGACACACTGGAACGTATGGACCAAATGGGCCGTATTGTATACAAATGAATTTTGGAGGTAAATCTCCTACAAAGCATCATGTTAATTAAAGGGGCGCTGTGGGTCAATGGTTGAGTCGATCGTGTCTCACCTGGAAGGTCAGGGGTTCAATCCAGCAACTGCAGCCACATATCTAATGTGTCCTTGGGCAAGACACTTACCTCTATGTTGCTGCTTCGTTGGCGGCTTATGAATGTGTTTGAATAGATGAGTTCATACTGATGGACTCTTTACATCAGCCTCATCAGCAGCCTGTACCATCAGTGTGTGAATGTGCAGTTGTGACCTGGGTGAAAAAGTCCATTTACCATTTACCATTTAATATGGGAAAGATGTGTGGAATTTACTTTATATCCATCACTTTGGAAAAATCATAAATATTTAGTTTTGGAGGTTAAAACTAAATAATGAATGACAGTAAATGCAAATCATTTCTTTGGTTGTTAAAAGAAATTAGACATTTCATTGAATTCCTTTCTATATTTTTGGAACATATAGTAGCTGGGATTATACACAGTAGATAGTAAAGATACCATAGTTTTGAGTTCAGTAACTTCTCCCTGCAGCTGTGTGGTGATGTTGGTATGAAGACGAAAATACAGTGTACAACTTCTATCTCTACAGACAGACTGATTCTTGTGTTTTCTGCTCTTACAGTCGGAAAGTGCTGGGATGATGGCGAATGTAAGGCTGTGTTTCCATCCATCTGCGCCAAGAAAGTCCTGGGTTAACACCGAGCCAGGACGTACCTGTCGAAAGCACTATTAAGCCACTTTTTGCATAGTCTGACTTTTTGTGTTATCAGTTTCATAATAACCAGAAATATTTGTCACGCAATTCAAATTATGTCTCTTCTAACGCTGTAACGCCTTTAAAGGAATAAAGGGACAAGTAACTTCTACAGCAGCAGGTTGTTTTTGAGGCTTTAATGAAAGCAGAATGAATGTGTTGAATGCTTGAAGCAAAACTTTATTTATAATTGTCTTTCTCTTCTTGTGCAAACATTAAAGTGTCAAGCCATTTCTCAAAACAAGAAGATCTGTTGGTCATATTTTCTTGGCCTGGGTCTTTTTCTCCCTGTACATTGTAAATCTTACGTTATTGTTGTTATAAAAACTCTGGATTACTGTGCATAAACAATTCAATAAATCTGGTTTATTAAGAGCCTCACGCGGGGCACCATTTATGTTGGGAATTTTAAGAGCTCACAGGTGGACAACAATTATGTTGTGGTTTTATGTAGTCAATTTGTTTATTAGATTAAAATTAATATTAATTATGAATATTAATTGACACAATTATTAATCAGAATTAATAACAATGGGGCACCGTCCTCAAATCATCCTCAAATCAGGGAACAATAACCAAATTACACAAGGCTAGCCCTCGCACCCAGCTGCTATCAAAATGAAGAAATGTTCTGCAAACACTACATTAAGAGTATTTTTTAATCATTTTTATGCCGAACAGACAAAAATGATTTGTGCAGACATTTCAAGCCAACAATGACTTTTTCCGTGCAAAGTGAAACATGCATGTTGATTTTCTATACCTCCACACGTGCATCCAATCACTAATTAAGGCCCTTCACATCAGCATGTGAAGAAGCTGCTACACAAGTGGGCATGTGATTTCAAACATTTTGTAGGTTATATACTTAATATAATATACGACTTACAAATTATCACACAGATGCCAATTTCATAGTATTCATAATTACACAATGTCTGACCACATTCTATGATTAAAATTTTTTCTCCATTTTTGTTTGATCAACCAATCACAGCTTCTGAAAGAAATTGTCATACCTAGCAACGGGGTCAACCACTCTCAATAAGATAAAAGTTTCAACAGAGTAAGCAGTTTCAACAGAGTAAGCAGTAACAAAAAATACAAAGGTAGAAAAATATGTACATAAGAAAACATGAAATATACAGAGGCAAGTATTGCATATTGCGGGTTGTTTTCATTAGTAAATGTTGATTGAAAATACATCTGGAGTCCCAAAGACCCCAGAATTCTGACAACCCAAACAAGTCAACCCTTCAAAATCATGTTTATAAGCTAAAGCTAAAGCTTCTAAAAAATAAAATAACTTGAGGGCTATGAGGTCACCATCAACCCATATCCCATATTGATGTTCATTTATTTACCTACAGTTTGATTAACTGTGGTTAACTGTGGCCTGCAAGTGGCTTTTTAATTGATCCTCAGTAATCTTTTTTAATCTTTTATCATGCTTTATTTTACTTTTCAGAACTCAAGGATGCTTCACATGACCATCAGACGGTCCCTTCACTATCATTATGGTGCCTTCAATTCAATTCAATTCAATTCAATTCAATTGTTCTGGCAGGCCGTCAATCAACGATCTTGAGGAGCCTAAGAGAGCTCAAGAGCTCCCAGGAAAGCAGGTGGTTAGTGACTGAGATTTACAGATAGATACATGCAGTAATATGATGTACTGTATATGCACAGAGAGAGAGAGAGAGAGAGAGAGAGAGAGAGCGAGAGAGGAGCTCAAGGTGCCAGTTTCCCCGGTAGTCTAAGCCTATAGCAGCATAACTAAGAGCTGGTCTACACCAGCACTAACTATAAGATTTATCAAAAAGGAAAGTTTTAAGTCTATTCTTAAAAATACAGACTGTGTCTGCCTCCCGGACCCCGGCTGGAAGGCGGTTCCAGAGGAGAGGAGCCCGATAACTAAAGGCTTTACCCCCCCATAGTACACTTGGAGATTGTAGGTACCACCATTAGGCCTGCACTCCGGGACCGCAACGCTCTCGAGGGACAGTACGGCACTAGTAGCTCCTTCAGGTAAGATGGTGCCTGGCCATTTAGCGCTTTGTAGGTGAGAAGAAGGATCTTGAATTCTATTCTAGACTGTATAGGGAGCCAGTGCAGAGAAGCCAGGACAGGAGTGATGTGGTCCCATTTCCTGGTTCTGGTCAGTACACGAGCTGCAGCGTTCTGGACCAGTTGAAGAGTCTTTAAAGATTTGCCAGAGCACCCTGACAAAAGAGAGTTACAGTAATCCAGTCTGGAGGTAACAAATGCATGAACTAGTTTTTCTGCATCATTTTGAGACAGGATATTCCTAATCTTGGATATATTACGAAGGTGAAAATAGGCTGTTCTTGAAACTTGACTGATGTGAGAGCTAAAAGACATATCTTGATCAAAAAGAACTCCTAGATTCCTAACAGTGGTGCTAGATGCCAGGCTGATGTCACTAAGGACAGTCAAATCACTAGAAAAAGTCTCTCTGAGGTTCTTAGGGCCTATCACAATAACTTCAGTCTTGTCAGAGTTAAGTAACAAAAAATTTCTGGTCATCCAGGTCCTAACGTCCTTAAGGCACGTTTCTAGCTGACATAACTCACTGGTGCCATCGGGCTTCATTGATATATAAAGCTGATTATCATCTGCATAACAATGAAACTGTATGGAGTGTTTCCTCATAATATTTCCCAGAGGAAGCATATATAATGTAAAGAGAATTGGTCCAAGCACTGAACCTTGTGGGACTCAATGGCAAACTTTAGTGTGCATAGAGGACTCATCATTAACATGTATAAACTGAGATCGGTCTGATAAGTAGGATTCAAACCAACTTAAAGCAGTCCCTGTAATTCCAAGCAAATGCTCCAGTCTGTACAACAGGATCCGATGGTCAATGGTGTCAAAAGCAGCACTAAGATCTAACAAGACGAGCACAGACAGAAGTCCCCTGTCTGAGGCTAGAAGTAGATCATTTGTAACTCTAACTAGTGCAGTCTCAGTGCTATGGTGGACTCTAAATCCTGACTGAAACTCCTCAAATAAACTGTTGTCATGGAGAAAGTCACACAGCTGTTTAGCTACCACCTTCTCCAGGATCTTCGAGAAAAAAGGAAGGTTGGATATAGGCCTGTAGTTAGCCAGAGTTCCTGAGTCCAGAGTAGGCTTTTTAAGTAGAGGTTTGATTACCGCTACTTTAAATGCCTGGGGTACATAGCCTGCCAGTAAAGACGAATTGATCATATCTAATATAGAGTTGCTAACTAAGGGAAAGACTTCCTTAAACAGCTTGGTTGGGATTGGGTCCAAAATACAGGTTGACGGTTTTGACGCAGAAAAAATGGAATATAGCTCTGAAAGGTTGATTGGAGAAGAACAGTCGAAACTAATATCTGGTCCTGGAACTGTCTCTGCTGTATCAGACGTATCCGCACCAGGTAAGGGCAGGAGGTTACCAATTTTGTCTCTGATGTCTAGAACTTTGTTGTTGAAAAAACTCAGGAAGTCATTACTGCTGAGGGCTAGAGGAATACAAGGCTCAATGGAGCCATGACTCTCTGTCAGCCTGGCTACAGTGCTGAAAAGGTATCTAGGATTGCCTTTGTTTCCCTCAATTAGAGAGGAGTAGTAATCAGCTCGGGCGTGACGTAGAGCCTTCATATATCTCACTGACCTGCTGTTCTACACTGTTGTCTTCCTCGCCCTGATGAACTCATGTAGGGGTAAGTTGCAAACATTACAAACAGTGTGGTTCATGTTGGCATGAAGAGTTATTTAAATTACTGAAGTTTAAGTATGTGCTTCTAATGACACCATATGGCTCACATTTGCTGAGCTGTAGGAATAAAAAATGAATCCCTGTTTGTTTTCAGCTCAGTCTGAGGTGATCGTTCCATCTCAGCCAGTAGTTTCATTGGTGGGTAAACCGGACGATGGCTGATGCTGTGATCCGAGGCTGATGGGATGAAGGAGGTGATGAACTTGCGATGGCCTGGTGGTGATGGGGAGGTGGAGGGTCGCTCGTAACGATGGCATGAATGAACTAGTGGAAGAGAAAGCCATTTTTAGGAGGAGGATTGTTTTTTGCAACTAATTTGTTTTTATATATTTTTTGAAAGGATACGATTTATTCATAATAATGCGACCATAATCTATAGCTGTTAGGCCATTAACTAAGAGTTTGCCCTTCTAATTACTGCTTATTGATAGCAAGGATGTTGTTGAACATGAATTATGATCTTAATATGCTTTGCTTATTCTAATTATTATTATTTATGATCAGCCATACAAAGAAGATTTTCAAGCAACCACTAACATATTTTTAATGTATCCAGCTAGTGTTGTAGTACTCGAAATATGTCACTTTTTGAAAGTCTTGGTCTTGTCTCGGTATCAAAAGCATTTTTCACTTGATCTTGTCTTTGTCTCAGACTGGGCGGACTCTGGATTTTAAGTCAAAACCGATTAAGACCACGACTGCTATTTGTCCACGTCATTACTGAGATTAGAAGGAAAACAGCTCTTTCTAAAATAATGAATAACTTCAATTTATTTGTTATTTGTGAGTGAGTGACATGCCCACCGCACACAAGATTATAATTTTTCGGTGGTTCTTGGTCTTGACTCAGTCTCGATCCCTAAATGTCTTGGTCTTGGTCTTGTCTCGGTTTCGATCCCTAAATGTCTTGGTCTTGGTCTTGTCTCAGTTTCGATCCCTAAATGTCTTGGTCTTGTCTCGGTCTTGGAGCACTCTTGTCTCGCGTATGTCTTGGTCTAGATAAGTGTGGTCTTGACTACAACACTACCTCCAGCACACCATTTCCCCTCCATTTTACATGCACTTCCATGTATTTTGTTTGTTTGTCATTTATTGTATGTAATATCTGTTTTATTATGAGAATGAAGAAACACACTTCTGAAACTTCTCTCCTCTATAGGTTCTGTCTCCTCACCTGTTGTTCAGATGACCAAAAACAACAATGGAGTGTTGTTAGAGTGTGAGTCTGCAGACTGGTATCCAGAGCCAGAGATGTTTTGGCTGGACGGCGAGGGAAACCTCCTCTCTGCTGAACCCACTGAGACAGTCAGAGGTCCTGATGGTCTCTAAACTGTCAGCAGCAGAGAAGAGACATGGGAGGAAGTACACCTGTAGAGTCACACAGAGGAAGATCAACCAGACCAGAGAGAAGCACCTCACTATTCCAGGTAAATATAAGTCATTAATTGGTTATATGATCA